TTGAAAATTCTCTGCTTTACTCCAAAACATAATAAAATAATTCTTCATCTACAACAACTTGATGTCTTCGTCTACTTGAAAATTCTCTGCTTTACTCCAAAACATAATAAAATAATTCTTCATCTACAACAACTTGATGTCTTCGTCTACTTGAAAATTCTCTGCTTTACTCCAAAACATAATAAAATAATTCTTCATCTACAACAACTTGATGTCTTCGTTTACTTGAAAATTCTCTGCTTTACTCCAAAACATAATAAAATAATTCTTCATCTACAACAACTTGATGTCTTCGTCTACTTGAAAATTCTCTGCTTTACTCCAAAACATAATAAAATAATTCTTCATCTACAACAACTTGATGTCTTCGTTTACTTGAAAATTCTCTGCTTTACTCCAAAACATAATAAAATAATTCTTCATCTACAACAACTTGATGTCTTCGTTTACTTGAAAATTCTCTGCTTTACTCCAAAACATAATAAAATAATTCTTCATCTACAACAACTTGATGTCTTCGTCTACTTGAAAATTCTCTGCTTTACTCCAAAACATCATAAAATAATTCTTCATCTACAACAACTTGATGTCTTCGTTTACTTGAAAATTCTCTGCTTTACTCCAAAACATAATAAAATAATTCTTCATCTACAACAACTTGATGTCTTCGTCTACTTGAAAATTCTCTGCTTTACTCCAAAACATAATAAAATAATTCTTCATCTACAACAACTTGATGTCTTCGTCTACTTGAAAATTCTCTGCTTTACTCCAAAACATAATAAAATAATTCTTCATCTACAACAACTTGATGTCTTCGTTTACTTGAAAATTCTCTGCTTTACTCCAAAACATAATAAAATAATTCTTCATCTACAACAACTTGATGTCTTCGTTTACTTGAAAATTCTCTGCTTTACTCCAAAACATAATAAAATAATTCTTCATCTACAACAACTTGATGTCTTCGTCTACTTGAAAATTCTCTGCTTTACTCCAAAACATAATAAAATAATTCTTCATCTACAACAACTTGATGTCTTCGTCTACTTGAAAATTCTCTGCTTTACTCCAAAACATAATAAAATAATTCTTCATCTACAACAACTTGATGTCTTCGTCTACTTGAAAATTCTCTGCTTTACTCCAAAACATAATAAAATAATTCTTCATCTACAACAACTTGATGTCTTCGTCTACTTGAAAATTCTCTGCTTTACTCCAAAACATAATAAAATAATTCTTCATCTACAACAACTTGATGTCTTCGTTTACTTGAAAATTCTCTGCTTTACTCCAAAACATAATAAAATAATTCTTCATCTACAACAACTTGATGTCTTCGTCTACTTGAAAATTCTCTGCTTTACTCCAAAACATAATAAAATAATTCTTCATCTACAACAACTTGATGTCTTCGTCTACTTGAAAATTCTCTGCTTTACTCCAAAACATAATAAAATAATTCTTCATCTACAACAACTTGATGTCTTCGTCTACTTGAAAATTCTCTGCTTTACTCCAAAACATAATAAAATAATTCTTCATCTAAACAACTTGATGTCTTCGTCTACTTGAAAATTCTCTGCTTTACTCCAAAACATAATAAAATAATTCTTCATCTACAACAACTTGATGTCTTCGTCTACTTGAAAATTCTCTGCTTTACTCCAAAACATAATAAAATAATTCTTCATCTACAACAACTTGATGTCTTCGTCTACTTGAAAATTCTCTGCTTTACTCCAAAACATAATAAAATAATTCTTCATCTACAACAACTTGATGTCTTCGTCTACTTGAAAATTCTCTGCTTTACTCCAAAACATAATAAAATAATTCTTCATCTACAACAACTTGATGTCTTCGTCTACTTGAAAATTCTCTGCTTTACTCCAAAACATAATAAAATAATTCTTCATCTACAACAACTTGATGTCTTCGTCTACTTGAAAATTCTCTGCTTTACTCCAAAACATAATAAAATAATTCTTCATCTAAACAACTTGATGTCTTCGTCTACTTGAAAATTCTCTGCTTTACTCCAAAACATAATAAAATAATTCTTCATCTACAACAACTTGATGTCTTCGTCTACTTGAAAATTCTCTGCTTTACTCCAAAACATAATAAAATAATTCTTCATCTACAACAACTTGATGTCTTCGTCTACTTGAAAATTCTCTGCTTTACTCCAAAACATAATAAAATAATTCTTCATCTACAACAACTTGATGTCTTCGTCTACTTGAAAATTCTCTGCTTTACTCCAAAACATAATAAAATAATTCTTCATCTACAACAACTTGATGTCTTCGTCTACTTGAAAATTCTCTGCTTTACTCCAAAACATAATAAAATAATTCTTCATCTACAACAACTTGATGTCTTCGTTTACTTGAAAATTCTCTGCTTTACTCCAAAACATAATAAAATAATTCTTCATCTACAACAACTTGATGTCTTCGTCTACTTGAAAATTCTCTGCTTTACTCCAAAACATAATAAAATAATTCTTCATCTACAACAACTTGATGTCTTCGTCTACTTGAAAATTCTCTGCTTTACTCCAAAACATAATAAAATAATTCTTCATCTACAACAACTTGATGTCTTCGTTTACTTGAAAATTCTCTGCTTTACTCCAAAACATAATAAAATAATTCTTCATCTACAACAACTTGATGTCTTCGTTTACTTGAAAATTCTCTGCTTTACTCCAAAACATAATAAAATAATTCTTCATCTACAACAACTTGATGTCTTCGTCTACTTGAAAATTCTCTGCTTTACTCCAAAACATAATAAAGTAATTCTTCATCTACAACAACTTGATGTCTTCGTCTACTTGAAAATTCTCTGCTTTACTCCAAAACATAATAAAATAATTCTTCATCTACAACAACTTGATGTCTTCGTCTACTTGAAAATTCTCTGCTTTACTCCAAAACATAATAAAATAATTCTTCATCTACAACAACTTGATGTCTTCGTCTACTTGAAAATTCTCTGCTTTACTCCAAAACATAATAAAATAATTCTTCATCTACAACAACTTGATGTCTTCGTTTACTTGAAAACTCTCTGCTTTACTCCAAAACATAATAAAATAATTCTTCATCTACAACAACTTGATGTCTTCGTTTACTTGAAAATTCTCTGCTTTACTCCAAAACATAATAAAATAATTCTTCATCTACAACAACTTGATGTCTTCGTCTACTTGAAAATTCTCTGCTTTACTCCAAAACATAATAAAGTAATTCTTCATCTACAACAACTTTTTTTCTTCTTCTACATGAAACTTCTCTGTATTCTTCCATCGTCTGCTTTGGAAAAAGTATGTATTTTAAAAAGGCTAAAAAAATTTTCAAAATAGAAAAGTAAAAAAACATAATAAAATAATTTTTCATCTACAACAACTTGATGTCTTCGTTTACTTGAAAATTCTCTGCTTTACTCCAAAACATAATAAAATAATTCTTCATCTACAACAACTTGATGTCTTCGTCTACTTGAAAATTCTCTGCTTTACTCCAAAACATAATAAAATAATTCTTCATCTACAACAACTTGATTCTTCGTCTACTTGAAAATTCTCTGCTTTACTCCAAAACATAATAAAATAATTCTTCATCTACAACAACTTGATGTCTTCGTCTACTTGAAAATTCTCTGCTTTACTCCAAAACATAATAAAATAATTCTTCATCTACAACAACTTGATGTCTTCGTCTACTTGAAACTTCTCTGTATTCTTCCATCGTCTGCTTTGGAAAAAGTATGTATTTTAAAAAGGCTAAAAAAATTTTCAAAATAGAAAAGTAAAAAATTTAAAAAATAAGTAAAGTTTTCTGAGAACATTTAACTAATTAAAGCAAATTACCTATTTCAATTCAGTGGGTGACACGACTTGGGCACAGTGATCCATTTGCACAGTAAACTTTTGCACAGAGGACAATTACACAGTGGACAATTGCACAGTAAAGTCTTGTTTATTCGCAAAACGACCTACCCATTTATTCGCAAAACGCCTGTTTAGTCGCGAAACATTCCAAATAAACGCAAGACTCATTCACCTATAGGTCATAACTTCGTTCAGAATCATCCAATCAAGATGATTTTGGTGTCAGCCGACTCAACTCAAAAAGCTCTTTCGAATGAGCTATAATTTGCATCTTCGAATTTTTTACCCCAAAAAACCGCTTGGTTTACTCTATTGTTTTTCGATTTTCGGGAGCCTATATCTCTGCGAGTTTTCGTCTCCCGCGAACAACTTTTCCAACAACGGGAAAAATTGCTTATAGAACAGGGAAAATTGTTTTTGTTTAAGAAAAACCATTTTATTATTAAAAAACTTATCAGAAAGCCTAACACAAATGCACTTAACCACAAATTACTGTGCAATTGTCCACTGTGCAGATGCCCAATGTGCAATTGTCTTACTGTGCAAATGGATCACTGTGCCCGTGTCGGAGCGCCATTCAGTGTCAAGATCTTGATACCCGGCAAAGGGACACGGACACTTAGTCGCGGGCCACTTAGTCGCGACCACTTAGTCGCCAAGTGAGAAATGCCAAGTTTTGAAGACCAAATCCCAGATATCACATCCAAATCCCTCAATATTACCTTTGATTTAAGTTTTAAGCTACATACCTGAAAAAAAGAACCTTCGCGACAAAGTGGCCTGCGACTAAGTGGGCCGTACCCCCTGCAAAATTAACGTAGAATAAGGGTAAGCCTCTTTATAAAATATTTTAGACACGTTATGAGTTGCTTTGAAATTTGAATTTGACCTTATTCGAAAGCTTGAAATTTGCTACAAGATAGCAAAATCATTTTTAAACTCGAAAAATTGGGGTTGAGTTATAGTTATGAAGCAGAGCCTACAATTTGCTTTAATTTAAATGTTCTCAGAAACCTTGACTTATTTTTTAAATTTTCTTACTTTTCTATTTTGAAAAATTCTTTTAGCCTTTTTGAAATACATACTTTTTCCAATGTCAGACGATGAGGATTACATGTCTAGCACTTTTATGGAGAAAATGAATGACGTTAAACCAGGTTCGAAAATTTGATACTTTTCATACTTTGTTAATTTTTAGGTATTAATTCTTCCCGGATAGCCCAGCGTTCTTTAAAAATTCATGCAAATCGTCTAGCGGCAGAGGAAAGACAACAAAATGAAAAACCAAAAAATAGGGAGCAGATGGAGAAGAATAGAAGAGAAGAGGGAATATCCAAGCCTATTGGAAGTGACAGCAAAGGATTTAAATTGTTATCATTAATGGGTATTTTTTAGTTTTTTTTGAAGATTTGTACGGTCTAATCTCACTTGTAGATTCCTTTTTTGAGGAAGGAACAAATGAGGGGTATAATGGGGCTATTTTAGTTAGGGGTATCGTTTAGGCAGATATCCCAACCCAGTGACCAGCCAAAGTTTTAAAAAAATGCATTTTGGATGGGGACTTTAGGCAGCTTCCCAAACCTAGTGACCAACCCAATAGTTTAACCCAGTTGCCAGCCAATGTTAAAAAAGGTATTTTGGGTGGAGACTTTTTTTAATAAAAAAAACTTGAATTGTAATATGTGTGTGTATCAAATTTTATTAGAGACCAAACTGGGAGGATCGTACGAAAATCGAGATCTCGTCTCGGTCCGGTCTCTAAATTTTATGTGTATCCAAAAATGCTGTGAGATTGGGCTGTATTTTTAATTTTTAGCATTTTCCTTAAAACATCTTTCAAAAATTTTCAGGTTATAAACCTGGAATGAGCCTTGGAATTAAACGAGAAGGTTAAAAATTTATTTTTAAAATAAAAGTTTAAAAAAAATAAATTTTGAAGGAAGTCAAACAGAAGGAATAAAAGAACCCATATCAATTCAAGTCAAGGCAAATAGGAGCGGTGTAGGACACGAGGAAGAACAAACTGAAAAACAACGCCAAGTTTGTGAAGCTCATATGGACAGGATGATGAAAAGGGCGAGAATGGAGGTTTGTGTGATTTTTGTGGGAGAAAATTTGGATTCAATTTTAACTAAAAATCGGGTCCTTTACATTTTTTATTTTGGGGAATATCCAACTTTATTTTGAAGTAAAATCTAAATCGAACCTAATAGAGATGGAGATTTTTGAAAAGTCTGGGCTTGTTCCTGGGCTCTGGATTTGATTTATTGACGGGCTGGATTCTGCGCCTGTAATCCAGGAAAAACCCAGGCCCAGGAAGGTCAAAAAATGCCTAGGCCTGGACTTTGGGTACAAGAAAAACCCAGGCCTTGGTCCAGCCCAGCTCGATCTCTAGAACCTAGTAGTTTGATTTAGCCTGTCGAGATCCTTTTGTGTCATTATCCAACTGAATTTGACTATGTTTAAATTAATAATAGTATTTGCCATTCAATTTACAAACAATTTATTCCTTATTGTTAGGAGTCCCTAGCTGTTGATTTTCGCAATAAAAAAAGAATGCATGCACTACAAAAACAAATAATTAGTGACATTCAACAGGCTAGAAGTGCGTGTCAACAAATGGATTTGAGGTTGATTTTTGTCTTTTTTTATTTTTTCAATTTTAAGTGCCGGAAAAGACGTTCCTGAACATTTTTGGTTTTGGCCAATTTATTCATCCAAACTCCCTGAAACAAGTGACAATGAAGATGATGACAATGAAAATAATTTTTCTTATAACTACAGCAATGGTAGAATGGCACCTGTTGAAATAAATTTTAATGAAATGGATGAGGATGAATTGGACAATAGGTTATTTTATTTTTAAAGATTAGGGGAAATAATTTCAGAAAAATTTTTAAAAATGAGAGAATCACAAACTGGTTGGGCCAGGGAAACTGCGACCCTAAAAAATGTAATTTTGCTAAAATTGCCGAATATGGACGTTCTACTAGTTTATAGTGATCGAGATTTTTGAAAAGTTCGGGCCAGTTTTTGGACTATGAAGTTTGATTTATTGCCTGGGCCGGATCCTGGGTAGTCCAGAAAAAACCCGGGAATGTCAAAAAATGCCTGGGCCGATTCGATACGCCCGATATTCGATATCTATGAACTAGGTTATTAACATAGAAAACTTTTTTAAATTTAAGCCTATCTCACATAATTGGCTATCTGAGGAGAGAACACTTTTATTGTGTTTGGTGTGGCTGTGCCTATTCAGATTCTGAAGATATTGAAAATGCTTGCCCTGGTTCTACTAGAAATGCACATGATGAATAAATTGATTTTTAAATGTTTTTTATTAATTTTATTTTTTTATTTTTTGTTTATAAATGCTCTTATAAATAAAGAAAAATATTTTGAATGTTTATTGTTGCTCTATCAAATATTTTTTTTAATATTTTGAAGATTATTTTTTATTTTATAAGTTTTTTAAGGATGCGTTCAAATAATCTTGGAAATGATAAAAAACGACAAGTCAAAGTTTTATGTTCTGGGGATGTCAATGGAAATTTTAAACAATTGATAGCACGCATTGCTTTGGTTAATCAAAAGGTTTTTTTGTTTTAGAAAATTGGGGGGATTTTAAGAAAAAAGTAGGTGCAGCGTTGTAATACCAGCCGCTACAAACCCTTCGAAAAATTTTTTAGTCTTCCCAGAAAAAAAATATTTTTAGAATTTTTCCTTAAAAGCCGCTGAATAGAAAATAAATTATTAATAACATTGGAATTTATAAGTTTTTAGAAAAATTTTCCTCAAAAAATTTTTTTATTCAGGCTGGTCCATTCGATATTCTTTTTTGTGTCGGTGAATTTTTTGGTCCAGACAATGACGAGAACGAAAAAGTAATTAATGGAGAAATTGATTTCCCCGTTCCAACATACATCCTTGGCCCATGCTGTCCTTCAACTTCAACCTATTATCCAGCTGAAAGTGTTGAGTTTTCACAATCTCTTACTTATCTTGGGAAGAAAGGGACATTAATGACGGCGAATGGATTATTAATTGGTTACTTTTCGGGAATTGAAGCACCGGCTATGTCTACACAGGTTTGTTTCTTTAAGATTTTTTGAGTTTAGACTTGTCTTTTTTAGTAAGGCCTCTCCTATTTTGTTTACTTTGGGTTTCACTATAAGATACTTCCTTGGGGCTGAAAAAATCTTATTTCATGATAGGTTAACTGAAAATAATATTGTTTATTAGCCGTAAAGCGTTTAAGCCTTAAGTTATGAGTCTTGGACATCTTTATTAGTCAGCTTTTCCATCCAGTGGTCAACCAAATTTAAAAAATCGTATTTTAAATTGGGGAAGTATCTGATCCAGAGATGTTTCGAAACATTCGAAAATCGAAATAAATTCAAAAATATCGAAATCGAAATTTTGAAACAACTCTGATCTGAACTTGGGTAATCTCATAGTTTTTTTGGTTTTATTAAACTCAAATTTTTTCAATTTTAAAGACTTTACCCTTTCAATTCGCTACACGTTCAATTGACGACCTTTTGACTCCACTTGCTGCAAGTTCAGGTTTCATGGGAGTTGATATCCTACTAACATCAATTTGGCCTACCAATGTTTGGTTACACTCAACAAATCAACCATCTATTGAACCATCAAATACTTCCAAACTTTTAGCTAGATTAGCTTCTGGATTGAGACCTCGTTATCATTTTGCTGGCCAAGGAATTCATTATGAACGTTCACCTTATAGGTTTTTTTTATTAAATTTAATTTTCCAAAAAAATCTGAAGAAAATTTTTTTGAAAATTTTTTGAAAATTTTTTAAAATTTTTCAAAAATTTTTTTTAATTTTTAAAAAATTTTTCAAAAAATTCCAAAAAATAAAAAAAAAATTTTCAAAAAAAATTTTTAAATTTTTTGAAAAATTTTCAAAAAATTTTTTTTATTTTCAAAAATTTTTTTTCCAAGGAATCACCGAGTTTTATTGGAACCAGCCCAACACGTTACTCGATTTATTGGACTTGCTTCAGTTAATAACACAAATAAACAAAAATGGTTATATGCATTTTCGTGTACTCCAATGAGAGAATTATCAAGAGATGAATTGGTAACACAACCAGATAATTCGACAGAGTTCCCGTATATGGAGATACTTAAGGTACTGATTTTTTCAGGAAGTTTAAAAAATTCTGATTTTTTCTAAATTCTGATTTTATAAGAAAATTTTGATTTTTTTAAAAAAAATTCTGAATTTTAATTAAAATTCTGATTTTTAATAAAAATTCTGGTTTTTTTTAAATTTTGATTTTTAGAAAAATTCTGATTTTTTTAGAAATTCTGATTTTTTAAAATTCTGATTTTTAATAAAAATTCTGATTTTTTTAAATTTTGATTTATAAAAATTCTGATTTTCTCTAGGAATATTTACATAACAAAGCAATCGAAGACGAAAAGCGTCGAAGGGAAGAAGGAAATTCGGTTCAATACAGATTTGATAATAATAATTATGAAGAAGAAGAGCATCAAGAAGAATTTCAAGGAAGAAGAAAAGGTAAAAGAAGGGGAGGAGAAAATTATAACGAAAAAAGGCCTAAAATTGACCCTTCAACGTGCTGGTTTTGCCTTTCGAATATTGATGCTGAAAAACATTTAATTGTTTCTGTTGGTACTAGTTGTTATACTGCTATGCCTAAAGGTTTTTATTAGAATTTAAGAAAATTTAATTTGAAAAAATTTTTTTTAATTAAAGGGCCGTTAATGGAGAGACATTTGCTTGTTATGAGTATAGGTAATGTTTTAATTAATTAAAATTATAAAAGTGTTGGGGAATGTTTATAGTATGTTTAAATAAAATTCTGATTTTTTTTTCGGAAAAAGTTTGAATAAAATTCTGATTTTTTATTGAGAAGTTTAAATAAAATTCTGATTTTTTTATTGAGAAGTTTAAATAAAATTCTGATTTTTTTATTGAGAAGTTTAAATAAAATTCTGATTTGTTTTCTCGAAAAGTTTGAATAAAATTCTGATTTTTTATTGAAATGTTCAAATAAAATTCTGATTTTTATTGAGATGTTTAAGTATAATTCTGAATTTTTCGAAAAATTCTGGTTTAATTTAAAAATGTTTCATAGAATTCTGATTTTATGTATTGTTGGGATTTTACAATGTTTATAAATTCTGATTTAATTTCTCATAGTTTCCGATAAAATTCTGATTTTTTAAAGAAAAGTTTGACAAAAATTTTGAATTATTTTAAAGCAAAGTTCAAATAAAATTTTGATTTTTATTATTTTTCAGGACATATTCAATCATTGGTTGTTGCACCAGCCGAAGTTCGTGATGAAGTTAATAAATTTAAAGATGCTTATTGGTATATATTTATTTTTGTATTTTATATATATTTTTTTCTAGTTTATTCTCTGATAGAAACAATGAAGTTGTTTGTGTTTTTGAAAGAAATTACAAAACTGAAGTGAGTTTAAATTTAATTTAATCAAAATATGGACAAGTTGAAGCTTTAATAATAAATCAGAATTTTATCTGAACATTATATAATATAAATCAGAATTTTATTTAAACGGTAAAATTCTGGTATAATTTTAAAATGTTTTTATAAAATTCTGATTTATTTCCCACAATGTTCAAATTAAATTCTGACATTGTGAAGAAATAAAATCAGAATTTAATTTAAACATGTTTAAAATTAATCAGAATTTTATCTGAACTTTATTGAAAATAAATCAGAATTTTATTTAAACATGTTTAAAATTAATCAGAATTTTATCAAAACATTGTGAGAAATAAAATCAGAATTCAATTTAAACATTTTTAAATAAGATCAGAATTTTATCTGAACTTTACGGAAACTATACTGATGTTTGTTTATTGCTAAAAGAGATTAAATCAGAATTTAACCCCAACATTTTTAATTTAAACCAGAATTTTATTTAAACATTTTTAAATAAGACCAGAATTTTATCTGAACATTACGGAAAATTTACTGGTGTTTGTTTAATGCTAGAAGAGATTAAATCAGAATTTATCCCCAACATTTTTAAATAAGACCAGAATTTTATTTAAACATTTTTAAATTAAATCATAATTTAATTCAAACATTTTAAGCATATGCAAATACAATTTGTACCAATTCCAAAATCAAAAGCAAAATCATTAAAAAGTACATTTTTGAATGCTGCTCAATTAAAAAATATTGAATTTTGTATTTTGGGAGAAAATGAACAAGTTTTTAATTTTTAAATAATTTTTTCTTATTTTTTAAAGGTTTGGGATTTATTAAATGAAGGATCTCCATATTTTTACGTTGAACTTCCCGACGGGACGAAAATGTTGAGTAGAACAATGTCTCGTTTTCCGTTACAATTTGGTCGAGAGGTTTTTTTTCAATTATTTTTTTTCTTAATTTTTTTCGTCTTAAAAAGGTTCTAGAGATAGGCCTGGGACTGGACCAAGGTCGTGGTTTTTCCTGTACCAAAAATCCAGGCCCAGGCATTTTTTTGAACTTCCTGGTTTTTTCCTGGTCTACAGGCCCAGGATCTGGCCCAGGCTTTTAAAAATAACCTATCTCTTTATTTAGGTTCTAGCTTCAAAAGCCTTACTAGACTGTGAGGATCACATCGATTGGCGTAACTGTTCGCTGGAAAAAGACAAAGAAGTTGAGCTTGTAAACAAATTAAAAAATGGGTTTAAACCGTTTGATTTTACTAATACTGAGGATTCTGATGAGGATGATTGAAGATGTTAAATTAAAATATTTTTTGAAGGTTTTTATTTTAAACTTTTTTATTTTCAATTGTTGATTATTTTCCTTTATGTTACCAGGGGTCCGCAAGTTTTATCTGCAAGAAAAAATTTTTTTACAAAAATTATCTCTGAAATCCCAGTGAAACAAAAAAAATTAATTTAGAATTAATTCTCCATGAGGGTAAACGATATAGATGTCAAAGACCAAGACCTTTCGAAGACCAAGAGTCTTGGACGTTTCTACTATAGTAAGCAAGTTTGTCCTGAGGATATTACTTGCTGACCCTTAATAATTCCAGATATAAAATTATTTTAACACAATAAAAAAATTTTTTTAATTTATCAATTATAAATTAGGAAACTAGAATATCTTCACAAAATTCCTTAAATAATTTAAGTTTAGAAAATTAAATTTCCACACAATGCCAAGTGACAATAAACCTAATGTCCTCTTTATTGGAGGCCCGATGGGAAGTGGTAAAACTACACTTGCTAAAAGGCTCGCAGATATTTATGGATACGAGTTTGTGGAAGGGGATGATTTCCATTCTGATGAAATGAAGCAAAAAATGGCTTCGGGGATTCCGTTGACAGGTTTTTTTTTAAATTTTCCAGATAAATTTTAAAAATTTAAGATGAGGATAGACGTCCCTGGTTGCTGTCTTTAGCCGCGCTTTGGCAAAACAATAAAGAAAGGAAGATGGTCATTGCCTGTTCGGCTCTTAAAAAACCTTATCGGTTAATTTTTAAAAATTAGGGAAAAAAAATTTTTTTAGGGACATACTTTTGGGTAGCAACGACGAGGCAACACAACACAAGGTCAAAATAATTTTGCTGAAAGTTAGCGAAGACAATTTGCGTAGCCGGTTAGCTAAAAGGTTAAAAGAAGATCCGAAACATTTTGCACCTCCGAGCCTACTGCAGTCGCAGTTGGAGGCGTTCGAGGTATTTTTTTATTTTTTGGGGGATAAATTGCTTGGGTTCATCCGGTCAGTTAATTTTAAAAAATCCTCAAAAAATTCCAAGTTACCAGTAAATGAACCAAATGTATATATAATGGAAAATAATGAGGATAGCTATGGACCTGCCATGGACTTATTTAATAATCTTTGTTAATTTTTTAGACTACTTGATTTTTAAAAATGTTTTAGGAATCACAGTTAAAAATTTAATATTTAAATAATTAAACTATACATATTTAGGAGAGAATAACGAGTGGTTCTAGGAATAATTTTTGAAGTTCCTTCTCTAAAAATTTTTTTGTTGATTCAATTCAGGATAATCCAAAGATTCTCCAAGAACTGACAACCCTATTTTTTGAAACAATAAAAATTTAAGAAGAAAATTTTATTTTTTACCAATTTTCTGGGGAAGTTTAGACCCTTTTTTTCTAGCGAACTAGGTGGAGGATTATTAATTAGACCCTTTTTTCTAGTAGAACCACTCAATTAAAAAATATATAGTGCATCAGAGACCGTGCCGAGATTGAAAATAGGCTCCCTATCCTTAACAAAAAAAAAAACAGCGGGGATTCCCAATCTTTTTTTTTTCCATTTTCGGGAATCGGGACGTTCCCTGATGTACATAATATTCTACAATGATTTAATTAAAAAACAAAATCAAAAATTAAATTACAAATAAAGCATTAAAATAATATTTTTTGTCAAAAATTAAATATTTAAAACCCCTAAAATTTACTTTTAAAATATGTATAATTTATTTTTCCTTTTTCTCTCCATCACTCAATTCTTTTCCTCCTCCAACACCAAAAATGGGAACCTTCCAAGTTTTGGGTGGGTAAATAATATAAAGTGATAATGTTGCGATGTTTAAAGCTAAACCTGCTGCATTGGCTATCTTTAAGGGAAAATTTTGTAAGGAGGGAAGGAAAATTTTTTTGGTAATTTCTTTGAAGAAAAATCAAAAATAATCTAGAAACCATGAAAATCGTCCAAAAAATTTTAAAAAATAAATTTAGAGTTACAAAAAATCAAATTTTTTGGAACTCTAAAGGTATGTATTTTATGGTTTTAAAAAAATGGTCTGTAAAAAATTAATTTTCCAGGTCAAATTTTTTTGGGAATTTTTTTAGAGTTTTTGGGATAAAATGGACTTGAAAAGGCCAAAAAATTGGAAATTAATTCTTCAAAAAATTTTTAAGAAAACTAACTAACCATCATATAAGGATTTCCAACAATAAACCCAAAAATAGTCCATTGTAAAGTTAACGCAAAAAATCCAAATTGAATTTGAGCAGGGATATATTCGGTTGTTTTTAATTGAATTGCCCTTCTCTAGGAAATTTTTTAAAATTAAAAAAAAAATTATTTTTAAAAAATATAAACCAAGTCATATACTCCACCAGCCATTGATGCAATTTGTGTAAAGGCAGCGATTGCACCTAAAATAAATTTTTAAAAATTTTTTGGGGGTAAATGACTTGAAAAAATTTTTCAAAAAATTTCTATAATTTTTTGAAAATTTTCAAAAAATCCGAAACTTCGAAAAAAAATTTTAACGAAAAAAAATCCCGAAATTTCGTAAAAAAATTTTTTCGAAAAAAAATCCAAAATTTCGTAAAAAAATTTTTGGAAAAAATTTCAAAAATTTTCGTAATTTTTTGAAAAATTTTCGAAAAAAATCCGAAATTTCGTAAAAAATTTTTTTCGAAAAAAATACCGAAATTTCGTAAAAAAATTTTTTCGAAAAAAATACCGAAATTTCGTAAAAAAATTTTTTCGAAAAAAATACCGAAATTTCGCAAAAAATTTTTTTCGAAAATTTTTTTAAATCCAGATTAATATCGGAAAATAAATTTTAAAAATTAAAAATAAACCCATTAAATCAGCCTGTTTATCTTCAGGTGTTTTATTTACATATTGAAATATAGCTGCAACCATTAAACCAACTGCAGACAATTGACCATACAAATATTTCTTTAAATAAAAAATTAAAAAAAAATTTTATGAGAGAAAAAATATTTTAACAGAATTTCTAAAAATTAATTTTAAAAATAAAAAATTGTGCTTAATCCACGGCAATTTAAAATAGGCAAAGGTGAGGTTTTTTTCTCGCTTTCAGTGAGGTACTGGTACGTGTGGCTAAGTTGGTTAGTGTGCCTATTTTGTTAAATTAACAGAAAATTTTTCCTCTAAAATAAATTCTATCTTTTTTTGTCTCCCAAAAATTAATTTTTAAAAATTTTTTTTCTTTTAAAAAATTAATTTTTTTAATAAAAAATATTCCCTAACCGAGGTCTTTTATTTTTTAAAAATTAAAAAAAAATTAAAAAGAAACCCTTTTAGGCTGATAAAACCAAAAAGCAGCAATATAAAACGAAAAGAAGAACAAATTGACTCCATTCAAAAACATATTAGTTTTGTCCTGAGTAATAATTCCGTGTTTAAACCAGCAACACATCATTAAAAGGGGAAGGACATAACTGAGGGAAGAAAAGCCTTCTGCTGTTCCTCGTTTATGCCAATCCATTACAACAAATCTGGAAAATTAAGAAAATTTTTTTACTTAAAAGTTCTTGGGGAGAAGGGTGTTTAAAAAAATTTTTGAAAAATTTTTGAAAATTTTTTGAAAAATTTGGAAAAAATTACAAAAAAAATTTTTTTTTAATAAAAAGTTCTTGGGGTAAAATGGCTTTGAAAATTCTTTAAAAAATTTGGAAATTATTAAAAATTTTTGAAAAAAATTTTTTGCAAAATTTCTAAAAATTTTTAAAAAATTGGGATAAAATGTCATTTTTAATTAAAAAAATTTTTTTTTAATTTTAGAAATTGTTTTGAAATTTTTCACTTGAAACTTTTTTAGAAAATTTAAAGAAAAAATTTAAATTAATCAAAAAAACTCACAACGGCAAAAAAGTAAAGCAAATGGAGAAAAAGGTTAACCAAATAGTAAATATATCTAAAGGCTCCATATTTCAACTTTTCTTCTAAATAAAATTTAATTTAATTTAAATCCTCACATTTTTAAATAAATTAAAGAATAAGGGGAATTTAAGGAAAGTTTTCCTGACGTTTTATTTCAAAATTTTCTTGGGCAAAATTAATCTTAAAAAATTTTTCTCTGTCACTCTCCTATTTTTACACACTATTTCCCTTTAAATAATAATTGGGATAAAGTGTCATTTTTAATTAAAATAAAAAGGGACACTAGAGTATAGGGATGTTAAGTATTTCGTGAGCTTATTAAAGGGTTTTTTTTTCATTTTTTCTTGTGTTATTGGGTTTTTTGTAGTTGAAATTTGTGATTTTAATAAGGAATCCTTCTGGAGCTATAGAAGTTTGGGGAAGGCTTTTAAATTTAATTTAAAAAAATTTAGGAAGGAGTCTATTTAATAAGAAAAAGATTTTCTGATTAAATCTCTCTCTCTCAATTAATTCATTTTTTAAATAATAAAATCAATTCAATGCTTAAAAAAGTCAATAAAAGGAACACACACGTCTACACGTTTTTAATTTAAAATTGGGATAAAAATATTTTTTTTTAAATTTTTTCAATTTTTTGGGGGTTAAAAAGGACATGTTTCCTTAGGAGAAACATGTCATCTTTTCGTGTTTCTAGAAGAAAACCTTATGTGTTGATTTTGTGTGAGTGTGATTTTTAATTTTGTGTTTTTTTATTTAAAAACGAGATTTTTTTGAATGTCCTTTGTTAAAAAATTTAATTGATAGAGAGTTGAAAGGTTGAATTTTAAATTGAAAAATGAAAGAGACTAATTTTACTCAATCTTCCAGTCAAGTTTCCTCCCCCTAAAAATAAAGGGAGAGATATAATTGAGTAAAAAATTATAAATTTTGTTGTTTGGTGATGTTTGCCTTTATATAAATTCTTTAAAAAAATTCAAACATTTGTTGTTTGTATTTGATAAAAGAATCAAAGTAAGAAAAGTGATGTGGGGAGTTAAAAGGAGAAAAAAAAATTGGTGGTAAGGGGGAGAGGAAATTAAAAAAGGAGGGGGACTTGAAGAGGGGGGGGGGACTTTGGTATTTCTTGTGATAAGAAAAGTAGAAAAAAGTGAGTTTATAGGTTGTAAATAAAATATTGTTAAAAAGATAAGAAAAGTTAATTAAAAAAATAAAAATAATTTTGGGTGGATTACAAGACTTTAAAGGCTAACCTATTTTGTGAAGAAATAGTGTGTTATAGTGAGAGACGGTTAGAGAAAAAGAGAAAAGATTTTTAATTTGTGGGGTTCTTAGCTGACCTTGTAGGGTTCTAGTTAATTTTTAAAAAAATAAAAAAATTTTTGGGTGGGACTTTAACGTCATGCTGAGTTTTGAAGAAATAGTGTGTTGAAATGAGAGACGGCGAGAGAAAAAGAGAAAAAGTTTTTAATTTGTGGGGTTTCGAGCAGAGATGGACGAAAATAAAATTTTGCACTCACCGAAACGAAAACGAAAAAAAATAAATTCGTCATTGTACGAAACGAAAACGAAACGAAAAAATAATTTTTATTTTTTCGAAACGAAAGAAACGAAAAAAATCCCAATTTTCACGAAACGAAACGAAACGAAACGAAAAAAATCAAAATTATAAAAATGCCTAAGTTATCGCCAAATTTTCTCGCCTAATTCACCTTCAATGCCAAATTTACTTTCAAAAATGCCTATTTTATTGAGGTGTGATAATTTTTCACATCGTATCACTAGGAAAAATATAGATGAAGAATATAGAGATTTAGAAGGATATAGATATCCGTCTTAATCCTTACACATCCCCAATACACTCCTAATACATTAAACAGATACGGATAATACCGGGATAACCTGCAAAATGGATTTCGATTGATATAGAGGAGGCAAATTTGGAGGGATTAACAGCGATATTGTGGGATTTGGGTGTTTAAAAGGGATATCGGTTAAATTGGGAAATATCGAGGGATTTAGAGAATATAGAATGATCTCTTCAGAACAATGGTTTTTATCAGAGATTAAAAGGGAAATCAAGGGTTTATGGTTCTAAAAAATTTTTCGGTAGGTGTAAATAAACTTTTACACCCCAGTGTATATCTCCTCCAAAGCCTCGATTTCCTCTTGATCTTTCATGATCTCATTGAACCAATGGGACTGAACCGAGCTATATAAAAAGGGGACCAGTCCATTGATAAGATCTATATCCTAATCACTTAAGTCTCGACTTTTCACCATTTTTCAGCGCCGCAGGCGAAAATTTTGAGAATTTTTGATGAACAAACAGTAAACTCTGTTCATTTTTCCGCGCCGCAGGCAAAATTTTTTGAAATTCCAGTTCCTAGAAGAAAAATTTTCAATTTTTGACTTAAAAATACGACAAAATTTGTCTAAAAATATCGAATATTTTTTCGTCATTTTCGTTTAAAAATGGAGTTTACGAAACGAAAACGAAACGAAAAAATATTTTTAATGAAATACGAAACGAAAGAAACGAAAAAAATTATTTTTAAACGAAACGCGAAACGAAACGAAAATCATCAAAAATCCACGAAAATCTACGAAAACGAAACGAAACGAAAAATTTTCGTCCATCTCTGGTTTCGAGCTGAATGAATTTTAATAATTTTTTGGCTGTTTTTATTTAATATTTTTGATGTTTAATTTTTTAGATTAACAAGATAAAAAATTAAATAAAAAATGCAACAATCTTCACTTAATCTTTATTTTTCATCTCCGCGTGCTTCAACAATTTCTGCTAATGCTTTAAACGAAAATAAATTGCGTCGAGCAAAATCAACGCCTAGAGGGAACAGAAAGGTGTCCTCAATGCTTAAATCTATTGAAAATGCGAAACAAACAATTTTGGATGTTGGGCAAAAAGGGATTGGAATGGAGCATTGTGTTAAGGTTTGGGAGGGTTTTGTGGGATATTTTGTCATCTTCGACTTTTTTGGTTTAAAAATACATTTATTGTCAAATCCTGTATTTTTGTGTTGGCAAAGCTGGTAGGAATGAAATTTAGGTATAGACAAGTTTCAAAAATTAGGGGAGGGGGACAATTGGTCCCACAAAAATAACTTCCAAATTTTCTGCTGATTTTTTTGATTTTTGCTATGAATATTCTTTTTATTGTTAATTCCTGAATTTTCTGGATTGGGAAAGTCATTATGCATGGGATTAGTCACAAAAAACTTTCAAAATTTGTGGGAGGTGACAATTGGTCCCACAATTTCAAAATTTTATTTTTTTTAAATTTATTTTGCAGTGTGGAATGGTATACAGCTTGGAAACTCCATCAGATGTCAAACAACACGAACGCTTCCATAATCGATTTACTGAAACTGCCAATTTTAGAGTTTCACAGACTCAAATTGAACAGTGGAAGAGGTTTATTTATTTTCTTTGATTTTTTATAAAAAAATTAACAGCGTGCTTCAATATGAAAACGTGGAGTCGCCACTTCCTGGTATTCTATTTGGTGTGCGTTCAACTTCCACGGCTACGCTTAAACGAAAATTGGAGACAATAATTACCGTTAGTTTACGTTGTTTTTTTGGGGTAATAGTTATTTTTGGTTGTTTTTGAATTTAATGTAAGCGTTATTTTTTGGGTTTTGATATAGTCAGTTTGTGGTGTGTTGGTTAGAGTGTTTGATTTGTTGTGGGAAGGTCGATGGTTCGACCCCCGGCCATGCGGTCTTTTTTGTATCGACTTTCTTTGGGCTAGATTTTAACTATTTTGCTTCCTTTCAATTTTAAATTTTTTTTTAGAATTTTGTAAACACTGAAATTGGTTATGCACCAGATTTACCAGTTTGGGATGCTCACGGAAAGCGTAAAGGTTTTGTTTTTGTTAGCAATTCAAAGCCGCCGTTTGTTGGGGGTTTGTTGCTGGTTGATCCTGTTACTGAAGTTATTTTGATGCCTGAAGGGAAGGTTTTCTTTAAAATTTTTTGAATTTTTTTAAATTTAATTTTAAAGCGTTTCAAATCAATCAAAATCGGTTCGATCCTCGGCGTTGACAGAATTTGGGTTCATTCTCATTTAAGAAGGAAGGGACTTGCTACGTGGCTTTTGGACACGGCTAGACGCCTTTTATCTCCTAAAGATGGTGACTTACTTAGGAAATCGAGAGTGGCTTTTGGAGATCCAAACGAGTTGTGTGTTAAATTGGCGATTAATTATGTTGAAGAAAACAAAGGTTTTTTAAAAAATTTTATTTTATTCTCTCCGTATTTCTAGAGGGGAATTTTGGGTTTATTTTTAGAAAAAATAAAAGCGCCATCGTCTTTTCTTAATAATTAACTCAGACAGGATTTCCGGCGCCCAAAATTCGGAGCAGAAAAATTTCTTTTCCTTGGCCCCTCCCCCCTCCCCTCCGAAAAAATCTTGGTTACGAGCCTCAATCCTTATCCAATTACTTTTCAATTTATGATGGTCTTCGTATGGGGGTCTTAAGTTATTTTTTAAAAAGCGTTGGCGCCTTTTATTTTTGGCTGCGGCAGAAGTTTTCGATTTGGGATGGGGAATTCCTCCCGCACATTTTGTCCTTGTCCAGGAACTAACCTCGAGAATTTTTTTACCTTTTTTTTGGGTTTCCAACTTTTGTAGAATAATTTTATTTTGTTCATTTTATAGACAAAAATTCTCCCAATAATACTACTTCTCCAAAACAACATAACCGTTATATTGCTTATTCGCATACTTAATTATTTATTGATAAATGGTTGCTGTTTTGGCTGCTTTTACTGCTAAATTTTACTGCTTAATTTGATTTTTAATTTATTTTTTTTTCTTTTTATTTTGAAATTTATTTGAGCAAGTATAGACATTTGGGGACATTCTGCTGATAAATATAGAATTTTTTTGTATTTTTTTGGTCTATTAATGAATAAAAATTCCAAATTTTTTGTTCATGTCCACGAACTAATGTCCCTTTTGGTCCCCAAAAATCGGAAAAAAAATTTTTTTTCGAAAGCTACTTGGTCCGCAAATGTCTTGTTGATCTTATAAATTTATTTTTTGTTGTTTTTTTGTTTTATTTTGAATATAAAAATGCTCAGGAATTTTTTCTATTTTTGCTAGTTTATTTGTATTTTTTCAACTTAAAATTATTTTTTTTTAATTTTAAATTAATTTTAAGAATTTTTTAAATTTTATTTTTGTAATTAAAGAAAGAAAAAGAATAGATTCTTGCCTGACGACAAATTATTAAAAAGACAACAAGAACTTAAATTAATTAAAGGATCAAATGTCACTTCAAAGCCCAACATCACTTACGCCTACAACAATGTCTTCATCTACTTGTTCAAATTTTACAATTAACAGGTTGGTTTGTTTTATTTTTTTAAATTTTTCCTATTTTTTTAAACTTATTCTACGAAAAACATTAAGTCTACCAAAGCTAAAGGGGGTCGTGGGTTCGAGTCCGGTTGGCGCCCGATATTTTTAAAAATTTTATTTTTGTTTCAAAAATGTTTAAAATTTATTTTTCTTTAATTTATTTGTTTCTGATTTGAAAAGAAATTTTTTTACACTAATTAAAAAATATCGGGCGCCAACCGGATTCGAACCCACGACCCCCTATTATTATATTGCTAAAACTTTTTTTTACAATTTATTTTTTAAAATATTTTGAATTTTTAAGTAAGAAAATTCATTTTATATTATAAAAAATATGTTATAATCACAATTTTTTAAAATTTTAATCAGCTCATAGTTAAATTTATTTTTCATTTAGTATTTTTTTTTCTGTTCACCGTCCAGTCACTGATATGTTTATTATTTTTGATTTGCCTAAAAATTTTTTTTTAATTTTTCTTTCCCATTTTTTTCTATTTTCTATTTTCTGAAAATTATTTTGTTCCTTATATGTATGTACTGAACGTTAAACCAGTAAAAACTTAGTTATCCACCCATTTAACAATTTTCCCCGACCTTACAATTAGAATTAATTTTTAAGAACCTTTTTATTAAAAGGACTAGCAAACGGATTTGCTGCCAATTTATTTTCTTCTAAACTTGTAGTTGTTGAAGTTTTTGAATATTTTCTTTTATTGTTATCATCTTGTAGTTGATTTTTTGTTGGTTTTGATGGGGCTGTTTCTTGTTCATTTTCTTCCATTTTATTTATTTTTCTTTTAGCAACACGTTGTTCAATATAAGTAAGTAAATAAGTACTTCCCTTTTTTAAATTTGAAAAAATAATTTTTGGAATTTTAAAATTTATTCTTTTATTAGAATAGTGCTAATCAAAGACCGAGTTGAAAAAAAATAAAAAGACTGGTCAAGTTTTCAAAATGTGCTTAGGGCCGGGTTTTGGGTAACCCTGCCCTCCTTTGTTGCCTATTGGGTAAATTTTACTTTTATTTGATTAACATAGGATCCAAAAAATTGAATGGTCTCTATTAGTGTTTGGCACGGTTCAATACTCTCGCAGTCTCTCGAAAGTATTGACTCGGTACTTTTCGGTACTATTGTTATTGGTACGGTATTGATGAGATTTTGGAATTTTCGGTACTTGCTCAATACCAATACTTTTCGGTACTATTGGTATTGAAAAAATCCATTTGCCGAACACTAGTCTCTATCTTTCTCGAACCTTTTAAAAAATTAAAATTTATTTCAGTCCGGGTCCACTAGGATTCTTCATGTTTTTTTCTAGCCTATTCATATCAGGGATCCTGACTTTAAAAAATAAATTTCCGACTTTTACTTCCTTATTTCGCGAATTAGTATTTTTCCAACCCAAGAAACGACGGGAATTGCTAATTTTCTGAATTCTAGACGGCAGGATCTCTGGTCCATTTATTCTCTACAAATTTCTTAATTCACTAGGTGGTCTCTCTCAAAATTTTTCTTCTTGATTTTTAAACTTTTAATTAAAAGTTTACTTGTATTAAACTCAAAATAGACAATCCCAACCACATTCCAATACTTCCACCTAGCGCTGCAATAAATGTAGTAACAGACCATACCCAATCTTGTTCCATTGTTAAATATTCAAAAGAATCCCATTTTAATACTACAGTTGTTAAATCTTTTGAGAAAATTTTTTTGAAATTTTCAAAATTTTTTTGGAAAATTTACCAGGTCTCATACTCTTCCCTTTCCTTTCATGATCAATATTGTAACGAATTTGATCACAACTTCTAAAACACTTTTTTGTACAGTCCTCATCGCTATAGTTACGTCCTTGTACACTTTAAAAAAAATTTTTTTAATTTTTGAAAAATTTTTTGAGAATTTTGTGGGAATTTTTTGGAAATTTTTGAAAAATATTTGAAATTTTTTGAGGAATTTTTAAATTTTTTTCGAATTTTTTTACAAATTTTGGAGTATTTTTCAAATTTCCTTAACTTCTCCGCTTGGAATTTCCAAAAAAATTATTTTTTTTCTCCCCAAACTTACTCAACTTTACATTTCCCATAATCACATATTGGCCATTCTTTTAATTCTTTTTCTTCTTTATCTGGCCCAATTAAGTAACTTAAAGTTGGAGCTGTACATTGACACAAATTACGAACAAATTCAAGACGACAGCGTAAATGGCAATCCCATTCTGTATCTGCCTTTAATTGAATTTGTTGATTAAGTAAATTTTTAAAATCTACGTTATCATCTTCTAAATCAGCACAAGCTGTCCCTTCCTCTTTATTAGGTAACATTTTATATTTTGCTTTAACATCAACTGTTGTTTCGTGCATCATACCAAGACATAACTTTTAAAGATTTTTTTCAATTTTTTAAGATTTTTTTTGAAAATTTTTTTTTTGATTTTTAGAGGCAATCTGTGTGTGACTTTAAAATTTTTTTGTTGAATTTTTTTAAAATTTTTTTAAAATTTTTCTAGTCAATTTTTTTTTATTTTTAAAAAATTATTTAATTTTTTTAAATTTACTTCATCGGTAAACCCATCCTTTGTAATTCCTTTACTTCCCATAAATCTACTAGTTGAACTTGGACGTCCATGAAAATCAGCTTTAAGTAAATTTTATTTTCTTTTAACTTAATTTAACTTAATTAACCAGTCATACAATCAATTTGTTCACCATCCAAATTTTCTGCATTGTGTGATAAAGACATTACAAAAAATTGACCCTAAAAACATTATTTCGTTGATGTTTTGTAAATTTTAATTGTTTACTTGATCATCTATAGTTTTATAATTATCCTCATCAAATGTTGGTTGAAAACTGAAAAACATCAAATGTTTTTAATGTATTTTATGTTTGTTTAGTTTGATGTTTTGTAAATGTTTCATAGATGTTTTAAATGTTTTTGTTTCCTATGTTTTGAGACTATTTTAAATGTTTCTATTGTTTTATTTGTTTAGTTTGATGTTTTTTTAATGTTTGAATGTTTTTCAATGTTTTGACTATGTTTTAAATATTTTCATTGTTTTTGTTTGTTTGTTTGTTTGTTTTGCTTTTAATGTTTTGATTGATGTTTTTTAAACTTTCTTAAATGTTTTGTTAATGTTTACGTCTTTTGCTTGATTTTTTGTTTGATTTTTAAGTTTGCGATTTTTAAATGTTTTACTACCAAAGTTGAACTTGTGATAACCAAGTTATTTTTAATTGTGTACTTATTACTTCATCTTCATCATAAGTTGTCCTTTGAAAGCGTTGAAGTGAACGACGCTTAAATGCTTATTTTTTTTTTAATTTTTTTAAATTAATTTACCAATGTTTCCTTTCCAACTTTTTGAACAAACTCTTCAAAACTAACTTGTCTCTTCTGTATTTCCCCCAACCAAAACTTGAAACAAAAATATTTTTTTTAATTTTTATTTGAATTTTTGTTGATTTACCTTTGACAATTTTCTAATTTCTTCAAGCCTAGATTGTGTATTATATTTTTCAATAGAAGCGACAGTTCCATGTGCTGTTGTTTCTCTTTCCATACTTGTTAGTGTTGATATCTTTTTTTAAGAAATTAAATTAGAACATTTTGGATTTTAATTTGTATGATCTTTACATATTTTAGTTTATTTTTATTTTCTCAAGTTTATTATTTTATTAATTTCTGAGTTTGCGATTTTTGTTTATTTCTAAGTTCATTTTTACTAAATTTTTAAGTACGAGATATTTCCAACTTTATTTAAGTTTTCAATTTTGTTTACCAAGTTTATCTAATTTGATTTTTAAGTGTGCAATTCTATTTTATTTTTAGGCTTGTTTTACTTTATTTCAAGTTTCAATGTCTTTTGCGTGATTTTTGAGCTTGCGATTTTCATTTAATTTTCAAGTATATTTTATCTTTTTGTAAGTTTTAATTTTTAAATTCAAAATACCAAATTATATGTTTCCATAACTATTCTATAATCCCATTGTTTTGAAAGGAAATCTTCTTTTTTGGTCATATTAGCTAATTGAGTAGCTATTGTTTTGTCCCATAATTGTTTATTTTCTGTACTGTTTAACCTAAGAATTTTTTGGAAATTTTTAGAAATTCATTTTTTTACTTAAAATGACTCCATGCTTGTTCTCTACTCATACAAAATGTTATATTAGGCATTTTCATTGTTTCATTAAAACGAACTAAAAAATTAAGGGGAAAAATTTTTTGAAAAGAAATTTTGAAAAGAAATTTTGAAAAAAATCTTCAGAATTTTTATTAAATTTCTTTAAATTTTTTAAAAAATTCTTTAAAATTTTTTTTCAAAAATTTTAAACTCCAAAAAATTTTTTCATGTATTTTTTAAATTTTTTATTTAAAATTTTTTCTCTTCAACTTACCACTCATATCTGATTTTTTGGGATGTTTACAATATTCAGTTACCTTTAAAATTATTTTTAAGATTAATTTTTAAATTTATTAAACTAACCAAATTAACAATATCTTTAATTGTAAGACTTGCTAGAAAGGCAACAATAATCCAAAAAGCCCATTCTTTTATTGGTTTTCCTAATATTAAAGCTTCTTTCTTGGTTTTTTGGGTTTCCATGCTTAAATTTTTTAAATAAAATTTAAAAAATATCTTTTGGTTATTTTTAAGATTATTTAAAAATTGAAGTAAAATTCAACTAAAAATTTAATTTCAAGAAGGAATTTTATTTTTAACAATTTTAATCTTTTCCACTTACACCCACTCATTTTTTTAAATTTTTTTTTGATTTTTTACCTTAATTTTCTCGACCAACACTTTTCTAATCTTGAATTACTTGAATTTCTTCTTTCACTTTCTTCATTCAAATTAGCTCCATTTTTTCTTCTTTTTCGACAATTTGGACAAAATCGACGCCAAAATAATTTGGATAATAAAACCCCTCTTGACAATTTTTTAGTTACCTAAAAAATAAGGTTAAAAATAAAAATTTTTTAATTGTTAATTGTTTGTTAATTGGTTATTTTTAATTTTTACTTAAGTTTGACTAGTTTTCTATAAAGCTATTTTTAGTAATTTTTCTAAAATAGGTTTATTTTCAAGTTTATTTTTATTTGATTTTTAAGTTTGCGATCTTTACTTATTTCCAATTTTTTTAATTTTATAAGTTTGCTAATTTCTAGTTTATTTTTGGCTTGATTCTTAAGTTCACAATTTTTATTATTTTCAAGTTTATTTAATTTTTAAGTTTGTTATTTTGTTTTTTTTTTCAAGTTATTTTTGGCTTGATTTTTAAGTTTGTGATTTTCATTCAAGTTTATTTATTTATTCTAAGTTTGCGATGTTCGTTTATTTTTAAGTTTATTTATTTAATTTAAGTTTGTGTTTTTTCAAGTTTATTTTATTTTTAAGTTTGTTTAAGTTTGCGATGTTCATTTATTTTCAATTGCGATTTTTCTAAGTTTATCTTATTTTTAAGTTTGCGATGTTCCTTGATTTTCAAGTTTATTTATCTAATTTAAGTTTGTGGTTTTCCAAGTTTATTTTATTTTTCAAGTTTGTTCAGGTTTGCGGTTTTCGTTCATTTTAAAGTTTGTTTTTTCATGTTTATTTAATTTTTAAGTTTGCGATTTTTTTAATTTCTATTTTCAAGTTTGCGATTCACTAACCAACATTTTATTATTTTTGTTGTTTATCAAATTCATTCTTTTTTCTTCATTTTTCAAGTTTTCTTTAATTAACTCCACTTTATCAAAACTTTCTAGAGTTTGTTGGGAATAATTAAAATAACTTGAATTTTGTTGTGAATTGTTGTAAAAACTTGAATTTTGATTATTTAAATATTTATTTTTTAAATTAAATGAAATCCATTGTAAGCGACGTTGTTGACCAGAGGGATAATTATTAGGAGATGTAATATTATTGCTGGTTGTTGGTATAAAATCCTCCATTTTAAATAGATTTTTGAATTTTTTATGAGGGCTCTTATTTAATTTTTGTGGGAAAATTTTTATTAAAATAATTTTTTGGGGTTTAAGTAATAAATAGATTTTTGATTTTTTGTGTTATTTTAAGAAAGGCTTTTAATTATTTTTTTACTTTTTGAAGGTCTTGCTATAATTTTTGAGAAATTAAAAAAAATATTTTTATTAAAAATTAATTTTTTTCGGATTAGAAACAAAAAAAATTAAATATGTCTAGAGTAGCTTTTTTACATATGTTGGTTGATCTTAAAATTAAAAAATAATTTTTTTCGTCTTTTTTCAAAGGTAAATAAAAATAGTAAATTGATGCAACACCTGTGTTGTTATTTACACACGAACACATCTTTTCTCTGAACTTTATATAAAAATATTGATAGGAATATAAATCTTAAAATAGATTTAGATGCTTTCTTAAATTCTGTTGCAAATTTTGTAAAAGTTAAAAATAAAATGAAAATATTCTCTCTCAATTAAAATTTAAGTGGGTGGTAGGTAGTTGATGATTTTAATATTTCTAAAGACAAGATTTTTTGCAAGATTTTTTTGTAAACTTTTTTTTCTATTTTTAAAATTTTTTTATTTGATTTTTAAATTTAATTTCTTGATTTTTCATTATATTTATTTTATCTTCAAGTTTTCTCTGCAATTTTATCCATTTAAGATGCTAATTTTTTTTTTGTTTAATATATTTTTTTATTAAATTTTGTCCTCCACATGTTTCAAACTTTTTTCGAACTTAAATATTTTATGCAAAATTTTTTTTAATTTTTTTTTAAATTTTTTTTCTTCTATTTCAACTTCTCTAGAAAACCGCATCCTCTAACTAACATTATTTATCAACAAAATAAATTTTTTTCGAAGGTAAATTAAAAATAAGAGATTGATTTGTACCTAAATTAAAGCAATTTTAAGTCTTTTTTTTTTGCCTTTTTAAACTGGAAAAAAATTTTTTTTAATTTTATAAATCTTAAAATTTTCTTTCTTTAATTTTCTAGCTACACCCAAAACTTGGCAGCCGTTCTATCCGACCCTAAGAGAACCAGATCTGAAGTTTCTGCTTTTTTCACACGTCATTGGGGAGAACAATTTATACCTAGAAAAACTATCCCTCCGGCACAAACAATTCCGTCAATTTCTTTGGAACATTTTCGGCAATATTTGGCAACTACAGCAAAGAAACATAAACAATATTTGAAGGCGAGAAGGGCACTTAGACAAAAACAAACACAACAAAATGGGGAAGAAGAACGGATATCGAGGGATGAAGTGGCTGATGTAAAAAAATTTTTTTTGAAAAATTTTTCAGGAATTTTTTAAAAATTTTTTGAAATTTTTTTGAAAAATTTTTGAAATTTTTTTATTTTCTGGAATTAAAAAAATTGAAAATTAGGTGGTGTTCACTACCGGTTATTAGCCGGTACCCCCTCGTTTTTGGTTAATTTAAATTTTAAAAACCCGGTTTTCTGTTTTGAGGTTTGGGCAAATATTTGTTTTATTTTGGGGTAATTTTTAATAATATCACTCATTTTCAGAAGTTTCGGTTTTCTAAATTTTTTGGCAAAATATCTCAAAAATTTTTGGTTTAAAATTTTTTAAGATTCTTAAATTTTTTAGAAAATTTTTTGAAAAATTTTTTTGAAGAATTTTTGAAGTTAAAAAAATTTTTTTATTTTATTTTTAAAGATTTTCTTTTCTCCAACATTTTCTCGCCATACACAACATACTTTTGAGGCTGTTTTTCTTGAACCTAAACCTGGAGAAATTGATAACCTTTTTTCTCCAATAGAAAAAAGAAAGGAAGCTTTAAGACAACAACAAAATCAAAATCCGTTTATTGAAAGGCATGAAAGTTGTGGATCTCTTTATTCTATTCAAAGTGGGCAACAACAAGTAAAGGATTTTTTTTAATTTTTTGGGTAATTTAAGTAAAAGGACTCTTTCCTAAATTTATTCATGAGGTATGAACAGTACTGGGTGTTGCAAGTTTTGTGATTCGGGCTCTTACATTTTCAAGTCTCGTCTCTGGCTCATAGGGAATTTATAAAGTTGAACTCCAATCGGTGCCAGGCTCCGTCGTTATCTACCGAAATGTGGTTGTCGGTTCGGTTCTTCAGTTCGGATCGGAAGATTATCCAAGAACCTACAACTTTACTCATTGTCTATTTCTAAGAATTTTTTTTATTTTTTGTTAGCCGTGGAAGCTATTTATTCATAAAATTTTTAAAATTCAACTTGACCTTTTTTTCAATAGAAAATATTTTTTAAAAATATCTCTATCCCTTAGTTTATTTTTTTAATTTTTTTTTAATTTGTAGCAATCATTATTACCAATAGAAGCAAGTAATGGCCGTTTTTTCCGTGCTTGTTTACGTTTACAAAATAAATTGGAATTTTTTGATGATGCAATAAGTACTTTATTAAATCAACAATTAGAAAATAGAAGTGAACAGTTTTGGAAAAGTGTAAATTCTTATGAAGCTTTGCATGACGATTTGGAAGAATCTATTGAAAGAATTAAAATTGCTAGGTTTTTTATTAATTTTTTTTTTTGTAAATTAATTTTTGAATTTTAAATTATTTTAGGGGAAAAATACCTGAAATTGGGGGATTTTTTAATTTTTTTGTAAATTAATTTTTTGGGATTTTGTCTAATAGGAGAGGGTTTTTTACTTGCCATCTTTCCTCGAATAAATTGGGGATTAAAAAAATTTTTTATAAGGTTTTTTTGTGGTTTGAAGTAAGGTAGCTCCCTGTCCTTCGACGATTTTCTTGGCAAAAACCCAGACATGCCTTTCTTGGAAACCCCGATCCCCAACACTTCTAACCCTGAAGGCTCTAAAAACTACCCTAGTTTGAAGTTTTTACCCATGTAAGATGGGATGGTTTCTTTACTTTCCCTTTTCCGAATTCCGTTTTTTTGTCTGTCCTCCCGATTTTTTTAAAATTCGGAATTACCCACTTATAAGGTCTGAGGTATTTTCTAACCTTTTTTTTTGTTGTTTCGTGGACATAGGCCTAAACCCTCTTCAGAAAATTTAAATTTATAAATCATTTTTTATCATTTTCTAAAGACAAAAGCTTGCCAAAACAAAATTAGAGTTGTGTTCACGCTCCCAAAATTTGCTTCAACTTTATTATGCCAAAATTAATAGACAACGTCTTTTTGATAAATTACAGGTTTTTTTTTAATTTTTTAAAGTAAATTTTTAATAAAAAAAAAAGGAAATTGCTTGTCTTCGAGATGCCCAATTAACCGTTCAAATGCTTCTAAATCAGGATGATGTTCCTAGGGCACTTGAATGTATACAAACTGCTATGGTTTTTTTTTTTTGAAATTTTTTTGGAAATTTTTTTTAGTATTTTGGGAGTAGATCCAGGCAAAAATGCCAGATCCAAGCATTTTTTGATTGTCCTGGATTTTTTTGAATCTGAATTTTTCTGGATCCAGCCTGGATTTTTCCTGGATTTTTTCAAAAATCCTGGATCCAGGCATTTTTCGATCGTCTCGGATTTTTTATGGATCTGGATTTTTTCTTGGGTCTGGATTTTCCTGGACCCAGATCAAGAATCCTTTCCAGGTTACTAACCTAAATCCAGATCCAGGATTTTTGAAAATACTTATCTTTATTAGGGAGTGTCCGCAAATGTCTACCTATTTTCTTTTCCTCCCTTTATTTTCCTCTCATAAAAATTAAAAATGTATTCAGGTTTTTTTTTTCAAAATTTTTGCTAAAATAATAGTTCTTAAATTTAAAATTAATAAAAAAAAATAATTAAGGAGAAGAAAAAAAACATTTGTGGACTTGTGGAGAGTATACTCCCAAAGTACCAATTTTAAAAGAAAATTTTTTAAATTAATTTTTTAAGGAAGTTTTGAGTGCAGATTTACGTGCTGTCAACTGTTTCCGTCATTTAGGCTCACAATTGGAAGAAACTAAAAAAATGATTGGCAAAATGTTGTTGGAGGAATTTGAACAGGTTATTCAAAAAGAATTTGCTTGGCCTATAGTAGAAGAACAAAAACGAAAACAATTTTTTGATGAAGAAGAAGAGGATGGAGAGGTTTTTTTTATTTTAATTTTATTTTTGGGAAGAAAAATTTATTTTTGAAATATTTATGGATTTTTAAATAATCCAGATCAAAAAAGCCAGATCAAAAAAGGGCAAAAACGGGGCTCAAAATCCTTGCTAGAAAGGGCACATTCTCTATCGAATGAGCCCGGTCTCGACCGTTTTTAGTTCGGACACCTCGCAACCTCTCCGTGTAAGTTCATTCTTAGGGAGTGAAATTATTACCGGTGGAGGTTCATTTTACAATAAAATTTACAATATGTGCTTAAGTTTATAGCAAATTTTAAATGGTTATATTTTGTAAAGCATGTAGCACAGTCGTTAGGGTTCTTGCCTTAATTTATTTTTGATAGAGGTTCGAATCCTTTACCGGTTTATATATTTCTTTTTTTCTATTTTTTCGATTTTTTTTCTTTAAAATATTTTAAAGATTATTTTAATATTAAAAAAAATTTTTTTTCAAATTTTTGACATCCTTTCCTTAATAAAATTTCCCTAATAAATTTTTATTAATTTTTTTAAACAGATTTCTAATCTTTACCCAATTATTTTTTCTTTGGTTCGTTGTCATGAATTTCGTTTTTTGGCTATTTTACGAGAAGAAATCAATGCAACAGTTAAAAATTCTACAAAACAGGTTTCTAAAAATTTTTAAAAATTCAAAAATTTTTTTTTAAAGATTGTAAAAGCCCAAATTTTGACCCATTTGGATGCTGACACAATAGGCTATAATCCAACTACTTTGTCTGAGCATATTTGTAAATTGACTAGTTCACAATGGGATGCAACTTTGTTAGCTGTTGTTAATTGTTTAATTATTTTGTGTACTAAAATAAAGGTTTTACTTTTAATTTTTGGAGGGGGTTTTTGTTCAGTTTGTACTTCCCATAAGTACGATCTCGAGGCCATATTTTGGCCATAACTTTTTTGCTTTTTAACCGATTTACTTGAGTATCATATCATTCAAGAGCTCTAAGAGTGGGGATTATTTTATCTGTTAAGAGTGATTTGATCAGATCATTCTGCTTAAAGTTAGAGTCGAAAAAGTGTCAAAAATCACGATTCCGAGCAGTTATTCAAATACAACTTTTTGTTGGATGATCTGATCAAATCAATCCTATTAGCTAAAATAATCCTCACATTTAGAGCTTTTGATTGATATAAAAATTAATTGAATTGGTTAAGAATAGAAAAAGTTATGGCCAAAAATACAGCTATAGCCTCCATAAATAAGTGATGGTTCCAAAATTAAAGCTTGGTTATAGGATAAAAATTTTGAAAAAAAAACATTAAGAAACTCAAAACAAATTAAAAAATCCAAATCTAACTCGAAATTCCAAGAAAATCTCCAAGAAAAATTTGGAAAATTTTTATGGGTCGTATAGACTAACAGGAACCTTTTCTGAAATTTTTCTTTAAAAAAAAACTTTCATTTTTTTAAAGTCAATCCAACAATTAATAATTAAATGTGCTGATCAAGCAGCTTTAGAAGAATCGGAACAATTACAAAAACAACAACAACAAAAAAGTAGAAGTGATTCAATGAATAAATCATCAGCACAAAATTCTGGAACTTCAACACCTTCAAATGGAAATTCTGTTGGTTCTTCTTCTGTGCCTTTAGGTTTTATTTGTTTATTTTTTCTTCATTGTTTAATAACTAAAAGGGGATGTATTTACTAGATTAGAGACAGAACTGCACTGAAATTTCGATGGGAGAGTGAAATTTCGATGGCCACACAAATCCTTGTTTGGGTGGCCCGGGTTGTAGAGAGAGAGAGAGAGAGAGATTTTGGATCATATCTCAATTTTGTTTGGTGTGTTGTTCCGGCCATTACAACTTTTAGGTAAGCTGCGCGCCTTCAATTCTCTTCCATTGATATAATTTTTGACGCTTTGAAAGAGCATCAAAGATTGTAAGCGAATTTAAGCCGCAAAGCTGTCCTAAAAGTTGACTTAATGACGGAAAAACCCCTCCCCTCCTTCTCCAAAAAGTCTTTCTAACAAAATTTTTCAATTTTTAATTTTTTAGACAAATCAACAACAACAAATTTACCACCACTACCCCCAGGAACACCTGGAGCTCTTTTATCATTACCCTGTCATAATATAAATCAACTACGTGCTGCTTCAATTCAATTAATTGGACATGCTATTTATTTATGTGAAGAAAGAATTTCTAAAAGGATACAGTCTAGATTTAAGGTAAGGAAAAACATTTAGAAGATGAACCTTATCTCTAAGATAAACCTAACAAGGAAATATTGCGAGGTGTTTCTCTATCGAATGAGCCCGGTCTCGACCGTTTTTAGGTACCTTGCAAACTTTCCTTGTAAATTTTGCTAAGGTACCACGAGAGCTATAACTTTGTTTAGAATTGTCGAATCTGGGACACTTTAGTATGGTTTACTGCACCTTTACGAGCTGAATCGAACCATACCTGGGATGTCCCGGATTAGACAATTTTGAACGGAAGTTATAGCTCTGCGATATTACTGGTTATTTTAATTAAATTTTAATTAATTAATTTTAAAGGATAATGTATTAGAAAAATGTTTACCATTAGAATTTCACAAAACCTGCCAAATTATTGAAGAATTTAAACAAAAATGTAAACAAATAGATGAATGTGGACAACAACAACAATCACGTTCACATTGTCAAACAATTATACAACAAATTGTATGACTATAAAATTTTATAAAATTAATTTTTTAAATATTTTTTAGACCAATAAATTCATTTCTAAATTTACTGAAGCACGACAACGTGAATTAAGGTGAGAGGAAAAATTAATTATTTAAATAGAAACTTGAAGCAAGTTTCTATTAATTTTAGGTTTGTAAACTTGAAGCAAGTTTATAAACTTGATATATTATTTAAATAAACTTTATAGCAAAATTACCAACTTTGTTTAAGTTTACAAACTTGAAGCATAAATTAAGTTATAAACTTGAATATAAATTAAGTTTACAAACTTGAATATAAATTGTTTATAAACTTGAATAAGTTACAAACCTTATTTAAGCATAAACTTGTATTATTTAATAAATAAACTTGCTTCAAGTTTATTTTCAATTCAATTCTTTTTGCTTCAAGTTTATTACTTAAATAAACTTTGTTTATTACTTAAATAAACTTTTTTTTCAAGCTTACAAACTTGAATAAAATAACCTTTAGTTTTTGTATAGAAAACTTAAGTTTATAGACTTCAAGTTTACAAACTTAAAATATTTACTTAAACAAAACTTTAATTTTTAGTGCAACAATTGATGCAGAACATTGGAAACCAGCTCATATAAATTCTAATATTCAACGAATTGTTGATTGTTATGTTCAAGATGGAATACTTACGACTGATACGAATAATAAAATGGTAAATGGTCAAGAAAATGAAGAACCAAAAGAAATGTTAAAATTAAAAGACGAAGAGTTTATTGTTATTGCGTAAGTAATTTTTGCTTCGAGTTTGAAAAAAATTATTTTCTGAAGCAAAAATATTTGTAGTTGAAGCACAAAATTTTCTTGCTTCAACTTCTATAGCGATCTTCTCTTGCTTCAACTTCTATAGCGATCTTCTCTTGCTTCAACTTTACAAAAAATTTTTTTTCAGAAGCGCCTTGTTGTTAATAAATATATTAGCTAGCTATAGCGATCTTCTTCGTTTATTTCCTACTGCTGGCATGGAATTAAGTATGGATGTTGTTCAATGTCTCAAACTTTTTAATAGCCGTACTTGTCAACTTATTTTGGGGGCTGGTGCAAGACAATTGGTTGGGTTAAAGTCGATTAATGTTAAACATTTGGGTAATTAGTTTTGTGATTAATTTTTACAAAACTTGAAGCAAGTTTACAAATTTGAAACAAGATTGCAAACTTGAAGCAAAGTTTACGAACTCGAAACCAGGATCGCAAACTTGCTTTAAGTTTTCATATTTGCATCAAGTTTACAAACCTGAAGCAAGCTTAAAAATTTGAAGCAAGTTTGTAAACTTGAAGCAAATTTGAAAACTTGAAACAAAATTAGAATTAATTATTATTTAAGCATTAGCCTCACGTTCACTTCAATTAATTGCACTATTTATCCCTACATTAAAACAATCTTTTGTGGAACATTTACCTGTTGAACGACAAACATCCCTACGACATTTTGATTCTACTGCAAGAGACTATGCTGATCATATTGGTGAAATTAAAGACAAATTGCTTGGAATGATGGATAGGGAATTGCTTGTTGCATTAGAAGAGGTATATTTTTTAGTTAAACATGTTTCAAGTTTGTGTAATTTGAAACTTTTATTTTAATAAACTTGAAATTATTTTGTGTGGGTATTTAAATAAATTTTAAGTTTGCCACTTGGAGCAGGTTTAAAGCAAGTTTCAAACTTATTTCAAACTTGAAGCAAAGTTTGTAAACTTAAAGCAAAGTTTACAAACTTGAAGCAAAGCTTGCAAACTTGAAACATTCAAACTTGAAGCAAAGTTAATTTTTGTAAATAAACTTGAAACTCTAATAAACTGAAACATGTTTCTTTAATAAATCAATTATAAATATATTTTTAGTGGAAACCGGAAGGCAAATCACCTACACCACAATTTCAACAAATAGTTATGCAAATTGGTAAATTCTACAGCAGTTATTCTTCTATAATGCCACCAGAATTAACTACCAAAATGCTTCATTTAATACACGAAAACTTGAAACTTTATTTTAAACAAAATGTGCATTCTAGAGGGGTTACTCCACACGATTCTATTGCTTATGGGTATTTATTGTTCACTTAAATTAGGGTAGCATCTCGAGCCTTCGTGGTTCGGGATCGTTGGGGATTGGGATTTTAGAGCCTTCGGGGTTCGGGTCGGGGTTTTTGCCGAAAAATAGTCGGGGTTTCGGGGACGGTGTTATAAACTTGAAGCAAAGTTTTTACACTTGAAACAAAGTTTGCAAACTTGAAGCAAAGTTTTTACACTTGAAACAAAGTTTGCAAACTTGAAGCAAAGTTTTTACACTTGAAACAAAGTTTGTACACTTGAAACAAAATTTGCAAACTTGTAGCAAAGTTCCCTAGTTTAAAATTTAAAAGGAAATTTTTTTATTTTTAACACAGTATGGCTGGACAAGATTTTGCTTATTATGTAGAAAATATACGTGCTCTACCCCATTGTCAATCATTTCCTGATGACTCAATTAATGATGTGCTACAACAAATTAAAAAATAAAAAAAATTTAAAGCACCTAATTAATTTATTATTTTTTGAAAAAGTGATTTTTGAAGAGATTTTTAATTTATAGTTATACTGTGATATACACTCTGTCCCAAAATTATGAGTTCACCACTAAATTTCATCGTAATATGGGTTTCAGACTACAAAATCGAAATATCTTTTAATATATGTTTATTTAGCGTATTCTGAAGTATATTACAAGTTCCCAGACAATTTGCAACATTAAGGCAAAATTACGCCAAAATTTCTCAAAAACCACTGTCCCAAAATTATGAGTTCACCTTATTATTTTGCTTCAAAACATTAGGAAAAATCTAGAAAAATTCAGCGAACATATACATTGATATCGTGAACAAATAAAAAAAAACTAGGCCCATATCATTACCCAAAGGCGAGATCCTGACACCCCGAAAATCAACGTAAACCAGGGGTAAGGCTCTTTAAAAAATATTTTCGACCCCTTATGGATTGTTTTAAATTTTTGTTTTAGGCTTATCTGAAAGCCCTTAAAATTTGCTACATGATAGTTGAATCTTATTTTTTGGAAAAAATTACATAGAGAGATACAGACCGTTAAACTTTCGAAGCAACCTTAAGAGCAATTTATGGGGCATTTAGTCGTTTTTTGGTGACAAGGATATTTAACACTTAATAACCCAGCGAGATATTTTTTCCAAAAAATAAGATTCAACTATCATGTATCAAATTTTAAGGGCTTTCAGATAAGCCTAAAACAAAAATTTAAAACAATCCATAAGGGGTCGAAAATATTTTTTAAAGAGCCTTACCCCTGGTTTACGTTGATTTTCGGGGTGTCAGGATCTCGCCTTTGGGTAATGATATGGGCCTAGTTTTTTTTATTTGTTCACGATATCAATGTATATGTTCGCTGAATTTTTCTAGATTTTTCCTAATGTTTTGAAGCAAAATAATAAGGTGAACTCATAATTTTGGGACAGTGGTTTTTGAGAAATTTTGGCGTAATTTTCGCCTTAATGTTGCAAATTGTCTGGGAACTTGTAATATACTTCAGAATACGCTAAATAATCATATATTAAAAGATATTTCGATTTTGTAGTCTGAAACCCATATTACGATGAAATTTAGGGGTGAACTCATAATTTTGGGACAGAGTGTATTTGATTATTATATGCTGCTGAACAGCCTTATAAAAATTTATAAAAAATTAAAAATTTTTTGAGAAGGATTGAATTTTTAGGGGGAATGAGCGTTATAAAAATAAATAAATATCGTATTTAAAATTCGCAATATTTGGCATTATGCCCATATTCAAAAATACATGACAGTTTATCCCTATAGTTAGAGAAGCAGAAAAATGAAATATTGCGGTTAGAGATAAAAATAAATACAAGCAATTAAGGTAGTTTGGTGCTGAAAATTGAGAGCGTATTGGGAAACTTTTAAAAATCGATAAAAAATCAATAATACGATATCAATCGATAAAATCGATAATTTATTTTTTAAAAATTTTAATTTTTCAAAAAATCGATAAAAAATCAATAAATCGATATCAATCGATAAAATCGATAATTTATTTTTTAAAAATTTTAATTTTTCAAAAAATCGATAAAAAATCAATAAATCGATATCAATCGATAAAATCAATAATTTATTTTTTAAAAATTTTAATTTTTCAAAAAATCGATAAAAAATCAATAAATCGATATCAATCGATAAAATCAATAATTTATTTTTTAAAAATTTTAATTTTTCAAAAAAATCGATAAAAAATCAATAAATCGATATCAATCGATAAAATCGATAATTTATTTTTAAAATTTTATTTTTCCAAAAAATCGATAAAAAATCAATAAATCGATATCAATCGATAAAATCGATAATTTATTTTTTAAAAATTTTAATTTTTCAAAAAATCGATAAAAAATCAATAAATCGATATCAATCGATAAAATCGATAATTTATTTTTTTAAATTTTATTTTTCCAAAAAATAGATAAAAAATCAATAAATCGATTTCAATCGATAAAATCGATAATTTATTTTTTAAAAATTTTAATTTTTCAAAAAATCGATAAAAAATCAATAAATCGATATCAATCGATAAAATCGATAATTTATTTTTTAAAAATTTTAATTTTTCAAAAAATCGATAAAAAATCAATAAATCGATATCAATCGATAAAATCAATAATTTATTTTTTAAAAATTTTAATTTTTCAAAAAATCGATAAAAAATCAATAAATCGATATCAATCGATAAAATCAATAATTTATTTTTTAAAAATTTTAATTTTTCAAAAAATCGATAAAAAATCAATAAATCGATATCAATCGATAAAATCAATAATTTATTTTTTAAAAATTTTATTTTTCCAAAAAATCGATAAAAAATCAATAAATCAATATCAATCGATAAAATCAATAATTTATTTTTTAAAAATTTTAATTTTTCAAAAAAATCGATAAAAAATCAATAAATCGATATCAATCGATAAAATCGATAATTTATTTTTAAAATTTTATTTTTCCAAAAAATCGATAAAAAATCAATAAATCGATATCAATCGATAAAATCGATAATTTATTTTTTAAAAATTTTAATTTTTCAAAAAATCGATAAAAAATCAATAAATCGATATCAATCGATAAAATCGATAATTTATTTTTTTAAATTTTATTTTTCCAAAAAATAGATAAAAAATCAATAAATCGATTTCAATCGATAAAATCGATAATTTATTTTTTAAAATTTTATTTTTCCAAAAAATCGATAAAAAATCAATAAATCGATATCAATCGATAATTTATTTTTTAAAATTTTATTTTTCCAAAAAATCGATAAAAAATCAATAAATCGATTTATTGATTTTTTAGTTTCTTCTACAGTATCAAATGTCCAATTTTATTTTTATTGGGATAAAGTGTCATTTATTTTAAATATAAACATTATGCCAATATTGTTTATTTTTACAGCGGTAATCAGTTTTTTAAACCCAATCAAAACAACAAAAATAAATTTATCAGAACATTGAATTTGTTAAATGTTCAAAGTCCAGTTCCGAAGACCTAATCTCCAATTTTTAGTTGTAGCCCTTCATTTCCCAATCAATTTCTGTACGTACATTATTTTTGTAGTCCTCTACTTTATTAAATTTTATATAGGTATTTTATATTTTGTTAGCTTCTCACTTGTTTTTCTTCTTTTATTCATCAACAGACTGGTCATTCATGAATTAAAAATAAAATGGCTACTAGTAGAGTGCGAATGCAACAAAAAAGCTAACACAAAAGCTGGGCCAAGCATTCCTTCTTCCCTTAATGAAAGATGAAAAGAAAAGAAATATTTTTTTATAATGTCCATTCCCCCCCCCCCCCCTTTACTTTTTTTTTTGATTTCTTCAAAACTCGCTTCAATTGAAAATTGATTTCCCCTTCCTCTACTTGTTTTTCAATCTCTTCTTTTTTTAAACATCAAAGCGCGCGAAATCTCTCCGGCCAGAAGCAAATGAATTTTGTGATCAAGATTGAGTAGAAAGACAAGAAAAAAACTTGAAGGAGCGGTCAGTCGTTCTCTTCTTTTATATAATATATTTTTGCTTTATCTTTTAAGTTTTTTTTAAATAGGCGTTATGTTTGAAACATTGTACTAGTATTTTTTGTAAATTTTTTTCGTAGTGATGCTAATCAATGACCTATTGAAAAATTTAAAAAATTATTACAATTAATTTATTAGCAACATTAAAGCTAGTCAAAGACTTGAAACTTTTCTTAATCCCAAAATTAAAAAAACTATTACGCTAACTTATAAATGTTGCTAATACAGACCTGGTCACGGATACTGATCTTGGTCCGCATATTTACGGCGGATACAGGCGGATACCAGCAGGCATTTTGATATTATCTGTATCCATATCCGTATCCATGGGCAGGTCTGGCTAATACATTCAGTCGAACCTCTCTCTCTCTTAGATGGAAGTTGAAAATTTTTTTTGATTATTTTAGCGCCGAGGGTACCTTTTAAAGTTGAGGGTGTCGATTAAACAGATCCCTCCCTCAATGGCTAGCCAAATTTAAAAATATTATAAAACAAAGGGTATCTAAGAAAGTGATTCCATTGGCAATTCAAAATCCTTTTTCAAAAATTTTAAACTTGCTTTCAATAAGAAAATTTTACATGTAGTCTCCTAAAAAATGCAACCATCAACAATTACAATGCTCAGACTGTTACCGCTCTTTTTATTATCAAAAAGAAATTTATTGTTGTTGCTATTTGGAATTTGTACAGCAATTATTGCCAACCATTTGGTTAAAACACAAGACGACCCCGACCATCCTGATACCCCAGAAATTGCTTCAAATTCATTAATTTCAACAATGGGGCGTTCAAAAAGGCAATGGGGATGTCCAAACGGATGTTTCTCTCCTTGTAAATTTTTTAAAAATTAAAATTAATAATTAATTAATATTTAAAAAGGTGTAAGTTCCCAACAATGCCAACGCTATCAACTTGCTACCGTTTGTGTTTTAGGGTGTTGTTGTCCTGCACAGCCAGCACAAACAACCAGTCTGAGTAGTAAGTCTTGTATTTTTTAATGGTATAAAATTGAGGTAAAAATCATCTGGAAGCAAACTTGAAGCAAGATCATTTATGAAATTCCATTCATGAAACATACTGAAAATAGCAAAATTTTCTTTAACATTAAAAAAAATTTTTTATTAAAGCTGCCTGTGATGGTGACCCAGCAGTAGCAGCATGTCTCAATGGTTTGTGCGGGCAAGGCTATTTTTGCAATTCTCGGAATTTCTGTTGTCGATGTCCTTCGGGAACATCACCAGGTCTCTCTCTTTTGAGAACCCCTTTAAAATTTTTAAAAAATTTTAAGGTCCTTGTGTAAACAATTTATGCCCACCTGGATATGCTTGCAATACAAACAATTTCTGTTGCTCTCTAGGATCAGGCTCTGTATTAGGTCCCTGCGGTCCGAATGGGGTAATTTAAAAATTTTCTAAGGGCTAAAAATTTCTCTCAAAGGAATGCCCAACAGGCTTCCAATGTGGAGCAGGCAATTTATGTTATCCAGTAACTGGAACGGATGGGGGTATATCAACTACTGGAAATAACGGTCGCCGATAATTTAAAATTAATAATCTCCTCATTAATTAAAAACAAAATTATTTTTTAAAATTAATCTCTAATTTTAAACCGCCTTCTTAAATTGTCTTTCTAATACATAGTACTTAAATAATTATATTCCCTACATTTCTAGTCATTAGTTTAAGTAAATTTTGTATTTTCCGGAAAACACAAAATCTTATAATAATTTTCCGGAAACTTTTATATATTTTTTTCAGAGTTATACTTTCCGGAAATTAATATATTTTATAGTTATCCGGAAACTCGTATTTTTCAGTAGTTTAAATAAAATTTTGTATTTTCCGGAAAACACAAAATATGTATAAAAACAATTTTCCGGAAACTTTTATATTCTCAGAGATATTTTCCGGAAACTAATAAATTTTATAGTTATTTTTCCGGAAACTCGTATTTTTCAGAGTTATATAATTTCCGGAAGACTATTTCAAGAGCTAAAAACTTTCCGGAAAGTCTACATATATTATTAGTTATATTTCCGGAAAGCTTACTTTTCATAGTCATTTTCTGAAGCTTTATCTTACATTTCCCTCTTTAGCTTTTATTTTAAATTTCTGGCTTGGTTTCCCGATGGTTTGAAAAATATTGTATAAATAATTTTATAAAGTTTTGGTAATTTAAAAGTGAAAAAATATATAAATTGGAAAGAATATTTTGATAGACCTATATATTTTAATTTTCTTTAAATTAATTTTTCTTACTCCCCAATGGAAATAACACATCGTAGACTAGAAAAATAATTTTTAGAAAATTTTTTTAAGAAAATTTTTTTGAAATTTTACCATTCAGTAGCAGAATGCATACAGTCAAAAGCATCATTAATTTTGTCAAAAGGAAAGCGATGAGTAATAAACTGAAAATTTTTTTTAATTAAGATAAAATTTAAAATTACACCTCATCCAATTTAATTTTTCCATCAAGGCATTTTTGAACAAGAAGAGGTATATCATCGCGGCTATTCCAACCTTTTATTTTAAATTAAATTAATTTAGAAATTGAATTAGAAAAAATTCTTTTTAAAGAATATAGGAGAGTATATAACTTCCGGAAAGTATGTATATAACTCTAGAAAATATGTTCCGAAAAAATAATTTTGCATTTTTTCATGAATACTTGTTAAATAAGTTTAGTTCCGGAAAGTATATAACTCTAATAATAGAAGTTCCGGAAAAATAACGGTGCAATATTATTTTCCGGAAACAATATAATTCTGCAAAAATACATGTATATAGTTGCCGGAAATTTGTTTTTAGACTGAAAATAAATTTTATTAAAATATTTACCCCCAAAAGAAGTTCCTTTCCAAACACGTCCAGTAATTAGCTTTAAATTAAAAAAAATTAATATAAAATAATTATTGAAATAAAATACTTGAAATGGTCTAGTCCGAATTTCCTCACCAGCACCAGCTACCCCAACTACACAAGAAACGCCCCAACCTTTATGTGCTGATTCTAGTGCTTGTCTCTTCAAAATTAAATTTTTTTTCTAATTTAAATACGTCAGAAAAAAATTAAGAAAATTTTTTTACCCGAAAGAAAAAATAAATTAAAATAATTTTTTATTTACCATAGTCTCCACATTTCCACAACATTCTATTTTTGAATAAAGAAATATTAAATCACAAAATATTTTAAAAAATTACCAAAAGTATAATCAAAACCACCATCAAAATTTTCAATTAAATAGGATTGGATAGATTGTCCTTCTGGTAAAGTACGAGGATTTAGACAATCAGTAGCTCCAAATTTTTTAGCTGAAATTAAAAAAATGTTTTTAAATTTTCTAAAAATTCAAGGATTTTTAAAACAGTAAATTATAAAATCAATTTTTTTCACCCGAGACTGTATCTTATAGTGAAATTAGAAAACTTTGTCTAAAAGGATATATTCCTAAATATAAGTTTCCGGAAAATATATATATATATATATAACTGAAGAAAATACAAACCAAAAATAACTAATGTAAGAAATATTAGTTTCCGGAAACAATACAATTATGAATATAAAAACTTCCAGAAAATATTTTTTATTATAAAGCTTCCGAAAAATATAACTCTAGAAATAGAAGTTACGGAAAATTATTCTAGTTAAAAGAATTTCCGGAAATTATACATCTCTAAAAATACTAAATTCCGGAAAATAGCTCTACAATATTACTAAGATACGGAATGATTTTTATTTTTCTGAAAAAGTTTATTAATTTTAAAAAATTCCTTTTTACCCTTTTCAAATTTTCCTTCACAAATATCAATAGCCAAAATTCTTTTTGCCCCAATTTCTTTAGCACCCAAAATAACAGCTAATCCAACAGTTCCCAATCCCCATACAGCAACAGTAGAGTTTGTTTCAACTTTGCAGGTATTTAAAACAGCTCCATAACCTGTAGAGACACCACAACCAAGCGGGGAAAGTTTGTCGATTGGTGAGGTTTTTGGAATCTTTTTTTGAAAAAATTCTGATTTATTTTTTAAAATATTTTTTAATGTGTTTCTATTTAATATAAATTCTGAAATTATTTTTTTGATTTTCTGCAGGAGAAATAGAATATTAACTCTATAAATACAAGATCCGGAAAGATAACTCTACAATATTAGTTTCCGGAAAGTATAACTCACAATCAGAATTACTTATTATCAGAATTAATATTACTTAAAAATTCTGATTTTAAAAACCAGAATTTTTCGTATTTTCTTTTTTGTATTTTAGAAAAACACAATTATTTAAAATCAGAATTAATATCAGAATTTAATAAAACACGTGAAAAACACATTTTTAAATTTCTGACATAAGGAAAAACACAAAAAAATACAAAATTCTGATTTTAAAAAATATATTATAAAATCAGAATTTTTTGTGCTCGTATTTTTATAATTATTTCTGATTAATTTCTGATTGTAAAAATACAAGAGAAAAACACAAAAAATTCTGATTTCTGGTTTCAAAAATACCTTACAAACAGAAATTTCAGCACAAACTGTATATTCACTAAAACTGCTAACGCCCATAAAATGACTTTAAAAATAAAAATTTTTTTTAAAAATTAAAAAAAAATTCCCCACTATATAGTTTTGCCCTTACAACTAAATCTACTAGTTCCATCAGGCATTAAACCACGGCCTTGTTGCAATCTGAAATTTTTTTTTATTTTTTTAAAATTTTTAGTGAAAATGGGTACATAACAGGAAATGGGCCTTACACCTTCTTAAACAAAAATTTTACGAATTTTAGAACACAAAAATCAAATGTAGGTGATAAACCCTAGACATGCACTTTATATTTTTTATATTATGAAATGTAAAATAATATACCCAAAGTGCTTTCATCATCTACAGTGGCGGAAATTTACTTAGGGAAAGGGTAAACTCCATGTAATTCCGTTCATCTTTATCCGATCTGGCAGATCTAAATTTTAAAAAATAGCTTAATTCCTATCTCAGTTGACATGTTTCAGCGTTTTTCAAAATTCTGATAATTTCGAAAACTTTTCGACCGGTCTAACAGGTACTACATTTTCGACTTTTCGGAGAAATTTTTTTGAAGTCTGTAAATTTTATATGTGATTCTCCTAAAGATTCTGAATACAATGCTAAAAACCGCATCCAAATCGGTCGAAATTCTACAGAGTTATGAATTTTTGAAAATCGAAAAAACACCCATTTTTGCAAAAAAATCGACAAAAATGGCAAAAATGGGTGTTTTTTCGATTTTCAAAAATTCATAACTCTGTAGAATTTCGACCGATTTGGATGAGGTTTTTAGCATTCTATTCAGAATCTTTAGGAGAATCACATATAAAATTTACAGACTTCAAAAAAATTTCTCCGAAAAGTCGAAAATGTAGTACCTGTTAGACCGGTCGAAAAGTTTTCGAAATTATCAGAATTTTGAAAAACGCTGAAACATGTCAACTGAGATAGGAATTAAGCTATTTTTTAAAATTTAGATCTGCCAGATCGGATAAAGATGAACGGAATTACATGGAGTTTACCCTTTCCCTAAGTAAATTTCCGCCACTGTATATTGCTTATTTAAATTCATTAAAATAAAATTTTATCATTTTAAGGCAAATAAAATTTTATTTTAAATAAATTTTTTAAATTAATTTATGATGAAACTTGATAGAATATTAATAATTTTAATCGTCAACGCGATTTTTTGGAGTTTAATTAATTCTGTAAAAAATAATAAAGATAAAAATGAGTTAGCTAGAGTAGGGGAAACCTCAAAGGATTTAACTAATAATGATGGGGCTGAATCATCGGTTGATCCTCGAATTCAAAAATTTGAAGGGACGTTGAAAGTAAAACCTAAAATTGCAAAAAAGGGTACAACTAAAGATAATCATCAAGAAGAAAAGAAGTTTAATAAAAGTGAAAATAATAAGGAAAAAAAGCGAGAAGCTAACCAAAGATACCGTCAAAACAATAAAGAAATTGAAAGAATCTGATCGAATTTACCAACAAAATAACAAAGAAAAGATACGAGAAAGTAAGCGAGCTTATTACCAAAATAATAGAGAAAATTTGAAAGAATATGCTAGAAAATACCGAGAAAATAATAAAGAAAAGAAGCGAGAATGGAATCGAAAATACCAAGAAAAAATGAAAAATAAAAAAGGAAACTTAAAAAATGTTGATCCAAAAGTTGGGCATATTCATACTGATAATAATGAAGGAGCAACTTTTGTTAATCCACAGAATGACGATGTTGGAAATAAAGGTAAATTGCCTATCGTTTACAAAGAGAGCATTCATTTTGAAGAAGGAAGTCTTTTAAATCAAGAGGAGGAAGAAACAGAAACTTATATGGAAGAGAAAAATCAAACTGTAATGGAAGAGCCAACTAAAATTAATTCCATAAATCAGACAGATTCAGATGAGGAAGATTATCTTCGTTATCTGAACGATGAACCTTATGATGAAGACGAGGACGCTCGTTAAAAAAGAAATTAATTTGAAGAAGTTAAAATTTTCAGAGAGAGAGAGTAAATTATAGAGATCGGAATACTCGTTTAAAATGAATAAGTACTATATTGGGGGTAAATAAGTATTGGGGGATTTCTAGAATATTTTTTAAAAAATAAATTGAATTCTTAGTAAAGTTAATCGTAAAAATAAAATTTTAGAAGAGGAAAAATATACAAATCCACAGAAATTTTTGAGTTCAAAAAAATTTTTTTCGAGTCGAAAAAAATTTTTTTCGAAATTTTTTCGAAATTTTTTTCGAGTTCCTCCCCAAAAATTGTCCGCAAGAACAACCACCCTTTCAAATCTCCCAAAAAAATTTTAAAAATTAATTTTTAAACCTTATTTTCTGGCACATATTAGTCTTTGGATTTTTGCAAAATTCACATTCTCTACATTGAGGCACAAAACAAGGAATTACATAATCTCCTAAAAAAATTTTTATAAAAAACAAAAACCTTTAAAAACCTATAGCAACACTCTCAACACCATTTCCAATAGATTCAACTTGTCCAACAGCTTCGTGTCCAAATATTACAGGAAATATGCCTTCTGGGTCTTTGCCTGATAGTGTCTTTTTAAAATTATTTTTATTAGACTCGATAAAATTTTAGGAAAAAAAAAATTTTTACATAAAGGTCAGTATGACAAAGAGCAGTGTAGAGAATCTAAAAAAATAATTAAGAAGCTTAAAAGCATTTTAATTAAAAATTTTACAAAATTTTTTAAAAATTTTACAAAAAAAACCTTTACAAAATTTTTAGTCAAAATTTGTGAACGTCCCTCCCAGAACAAACCGACAAAATTTTATAGAAAATTAAGCAAACCTTAATTCTAACTTCCCCATCTTTTGGAGGAGAAACTTCAACTTGTTCAAAAACTAAAGGTTTATTAGGCTCCCAAGCAACAGCTGCTTTACATGTTATTATCTAAAATTTTGAAAGTCCATATTAAAACAAAAATTAAAAAAACCTGTCCTTGAGTAGACATATCAAGCTAATTATTCAATCAAAAATTCGATCAAAATTCGATTAAAAAAAATTAAAAAAAAAATTTTTAAATTCAAAAAAAATATTTTTCTAGTGTTCATCAACACACTTAAAAAATCCAAAAAAAATTTTTTTTTATTTAAACGAGATTTTATTTTTTATTCCTGCAACAAAAATAAGAGTGAAGCACTTGAAATCATTTTTAAAAAAAATTAATTTAAGATTTGTTTTTTTAACAGAATGCAAAAAAAATTCAGGAAAAAATAAAAAAAAAGAAAATTCTTCCAAAAAAAGCTTTAACAATTTTCGTTTTCTTAATTTAATTTTTAACTAAAACCTCTCATCCAAGTATTCACTGAAAACCCCCACCCATTCCTCCATACATTGCCCCTTCATCTTCAGGTACACGAACATCGTCAATTTTTAAAATCATTCGGACAACCTTTAAAAAAAAGTATATTTGTAATTTTACTTATTTCATATCCCCGTTTATTTAACCCGTTTTGTGAGTTTCCAGAAAATAATGACCAGTATCTCATGAAAAACCCACAAACTTTGCCCATAAAATACTAGCTTAAGTACCAGATTATCATATGTAGCTGAAAAGGGAGCCACCCGAACTGTAGTAGTAAATCGATGATATGAGTCGATCTAGAGCAAATCAATGATGCTCTATAGATTGGTAGCAAAAAAGTACAAAGTTTTGACTCAATAATCGACAATCATAAAAATGAATAGGAAAATTAATTTTCGGTTGGTCTCACAAGGAAACCTTTTCGAGGTTACCTTGTGAGAGACCAACCGAAAATTAACTTCCTATTCATTTTTAGGATTGTCGGTTACTTGAAAAATCCTCGGATCTTCCCTTCCTAATCCCCCCTCATTTTCTATTCAATTTCCAAAAAATTCGATAAAAAACCTGTGTAGCCAAAGAAAGTTGTTCTCTTTTAGACAACAAAGTTTCTATAACTCCTTGTGATTTCATATCATTAGTTCCTTTTTGAAGACAATCAACACCCAAAAAATATGCCAACTTTTCATAACAACATTTATTATTTTCATCAGATTTTGTGTTGCTAGCAGTTAAAGACTCGTCAGACGACACAGAAACATTTTGAATTTGGCGAGCTTTCAATTCGGTTAAAGTCTCAATTGGTGGCAATCCAGAATTTTCTGCTAAAGCTGCTGGAATGCTTTCTAATGCATCAGCAAATGCTTGATAAGCATATTGTTCAATTCCTTCAACCTGAATTTTAAAAGAATAGCAAGAGTGTAAATGACATGAGTGTACCGGGTTGAGAATAAAAGCAAAGCCGGGTTTCAAAAATTTAGCGGGCTGGGTTTCAGGACGAAAAATGTCAGGATTTTCAAATAAAAATAATCCTAGACAAGACTGGTACACATAAACCTCAAATTTCAGGAAGGCTGTACAAGTGTGTGTGGGAGGGCAGGCTACGTAAAGTTCAACACTACCTTTAGTATTGGGAATTTTATATCGTACCAGGCAAAAAATTTTTTATTTTAATCATTCTCTTCTCCTGTTTCTCCATCCAAAGCCCGTTAACTAACTCTTCCCATTTGAAGGGAAAATTTAAAAAAAAATTTTTCACAATTTGAAGGAGAGCCTAACCCAGCAAATACGCCCTCGCAAAGTGAAAAAATCTTTTTTCAAAAAATACTTTATCAGCTTCTTGTGCAACAGCAATAGAACAAGCCAACTCTGCAGCACCTCCACCATAAACAATTTTATCGTCACGGATTAAATTGCGAACAACACAGAATGCGTCATGAAGTGAACGTTTAGCTTCCTCAATAACCTAAAAAATTTTAGAAAAAAAAATTTTTTTCACAAAAATAAAGAAAACCATTTTGTTTCCTCCACGAATCAAAACCTACAAAAAAATTTCTCTAAAATAAAAAAAAATTTCCAAAGAAACCGTCACAGCTCGTCTATTCGGACAATTTTCAATACACAACATTTGATCGTTGTCTGTCCCAAAAGTCAATTCATGAACAAGTCCAGCAGAACCCAATTTTTCGGGTGTAAGTTCAGCAAAACGAGGAACAATACGTCCATTTGTAGCAATAGCAATTAACTTTAAAAATTAAAAATTTTAACAAAATTTAATAATAGTGTAGTTTACCCCCCATTAATATTTCTCACAAAAATTCTCTCTTTTCTGTATTTGCTAGTACAAAATTAACCAAAAAAAGGATTTTTTTGTATAAAAATGCGAAAAGTATTTTGCTCAAAATTTATAAAAGTATGCTTTTCTATGAAGTCCAAGCTCCTCACGTCATGTTTCAAATATTTTTATCAAAAAAATGCTAATTCTTTTCGGTTGATTTTGTACCAGTGGTAACTACAAGAGAGAGATTTTTAAGGGAATATGAGTGATGGGGGGTAAACTACACTACTATTAAATTCTTGGTTGATTCTGTACCAGTGGTAATTATAGAGGAATTTAGGAAGATAAGAAAAAAAAGGAGAAAGGGAGCCAAACACAATATTCCCCAAAAATTAATTTACAAAACCTCAATTTCGGGCCCACCAACCCAACGAACTGCAGGCAAATTATGATGTAAAAGTAAATGGTTTGCTTCATCATCAAATCCCCATTGACAAAGAGCTAATGTTGCTCCACTTGCTTTAACCTAAAAAACAAAATTTTATAAATCCACAAAAAAACAAACATCTTGTATCATTTTTTCAAAAGTTTCACGCTCATATTTTTGTAATTGTTTGTAATCTTCAGTTGAAGTAATGTCCAATTTATGCTAAAAAATTGGGAGTAAATGATTGAAAAGTGATTTATTGGCTTGGATAAGAACCCAAGATATTGATTTTTCTTGGTTCCTTTACTAGATTTGAAGGCCCATAACAATCCGAAAATGGCCCCGTAGCAAAAAAGTCAAAAATTGGGAATAGGTTATTGACTATGTTCAGCGAATGATATCAAAAAGAAGTGAAAGGTCCCTTGTAAACCAAAAACTTGATTTTTCATGGATCAAGAGTCACAAACAAGGAATCGTTTAACGTCTTTTGAGTTCTATTTGACTCAAGCTTTTACTGTTGACCTCCATTTTTAAATAGAATGAAAGACTAGAAAGACCTCAATAGAAATAATCTTTCCAATACCTCAAAATTATCCAAAACAAAAATTTAATACCTTAGTTTTTGGCTTTGGCGGTTCAAACGGGCAAGTAAGAATAGCAATTTTTGCATTTTCCATACGACGAGGCATTTGAGGATGACTCTAAAATTTATAACAAAATTAAAAAAATAAATTTAAAAGAAAACCATAGTTTTGTCAATAACAACTCCTTTAATTAAAGCAGTATCTTCAAGTTGTCCACCTTCTTTCCCAACAATTTTGATCAATTCGAAATTAACATCGCGTTGTTCCAAATCAGCAACCGCTAAAATAGCGTCAACAGCAATTGAAGCTAGTTGATATAAACATTTGTTTACACTGAAAAAATTTTTAGGGAGAATGAGTAGATGTCAGGGATGGATCGGGTTGAGGAAAAAGACCAGTCGGGGCTCGAGCAGTGTTCAGCTAATAAATTTTTTCGTTACCCGTTCAGGAAGCAACGAAAAGTACCAGTACCGAACGAGTACCGAAAATTCCAAAATCTTATCAGTATAATACCAATACCGTCAGTACCGAAAAGCAACTACTCGGCACATTAAGGAGTACTGCGGGAGTACCGAACCACGTCAAATACCAGTTTCGAGTAGAGTGTTCATAAAGTTTCGGGAAGAGTTCCCATCCCTTGTACATATTAAAAAATACAAAAAATTCAATTTACATTTTAGAACCCAGTGAAGTCATAGCACATCTAATTAATGCCTCTCTATTGTCAATTGGAAATTTTTCAGCAATAGAATCCAACACATCCAAGGCCTTTTTACACGCCATTTCGAAGCCATCAGCAATTTTGGTTTGATGAATGCCTTTATCTAACAATGATTCAGCCTGTTCCATTAAAGCGCCGGCCAATACTTTGAATAAAATTTTTTTTAGCTCAAATTAATTTTATTTTAACTAAAAAAAGTAATAGAAGCTAATAAAAAATGATTTACAACAATAGGATTCGAACCCTCGCCCATCAACAGTCAAATCGCACAACACTAACCATTACACCAACGAGGAACCTATCAGCCAATACCAAATTTTTAACCATATTTCTCCTAGTTTACTAATAATACTCAAAATTCATACCAACGACTCCCGTTGTTCCATCACCAATTTCATCATCTTGCGACTGCGACAGTTCCACCATTAATTTAGCTACGTGATGTTCTACATCCATATTCTTCAAAAAAAATTTAATTTAACCTCCAATAAACTCAAAAAAAACCTTCATAATGGTTGCCCCATCATTCGTAATCGTCACCTCCCCGTCTGGACTAACCAACATTTTATCCAATCCGCGAGGACCTAAAGATGTTTTTAACGTATTTGCGACTTGTTTAGCTGCCAAAATGTGACTCTTAGAAAATTTTAAAATTTAAAGAAAAATAAAATTTGAAAAAAACCTTCAAAGCCTCTACACCAGTCAATCGTTTTTGTCTTTCCTGTTCACGCAACAAAATAAAAGGTTGTCCAGATTCATCAAAAAGTAATTGGCCTGCTGCTGCCATTTTTAAATTTTATTAAAAAATTAACTAGAAAGTGATTTTTTAAAATTAAATTTCAGAGGAATCAAGAATCAAGGCAAAGGAAATAAAGCAACCCAAGCGTGAAACACTGTCAGACACAAATTAGGTGCTTTAACAAGAGAATGATCAATAAAAAGTTTGGGATAAAAACCCAAAAGACAAAAAAAGTAAGTAAAAAATCAAAAAATATTTATTTGCAACAAAACCCAACAAAAAAAATAAAGGAAACGATTATATGGCACAAAGATTTTCGGACACTAAAGTCTACATATTCTTCTCTATTTTCTAATAATCACACCATAAGAGCAACATCATCACTTCAAATCCCATAGTTAAATATAGCCGCGAGTCTTCCCAAAACAGTAAACATTGCAGATTGAGATCAAAAGGCTGGAAAAAATTATTAGAGGTCTAACGCCGTCAGAGTCAAAATGGGTTTAAACACCGGAATTCATTTTCTTGGGCCCCCAAAAACGTCTATGAAACAACAGACCCCCAACTTTGAAGCAAAAGCTGTCTTCTAACTCTACCAGGTAATCCCTGTCGATGTCAAATTCAAACTCCATCAGAAAAGGCCCACAACTCTGACAAGTTATCCAACCCCCAAAAAAGTAACCCCCACCAAAATATAAAACAAAAAAACCTCACAAGTTATCCCAAGAGAATACAAAAACTCACGCTATACAGATTGCAGCCAATATCACTGTACTCGTCGCTATTCCCTTTTTTGGCGTATAAGGTAGTGTCACTCCTTTATCCCAGGGATCTTCTGTATACGGCACTTCATCTATTGCCACGGTAGGCCCATAACTTTCTTCACTCGTTTCTTGGGTTTCATCTTGCTCGATTGTTGTAGTTGCTTTGGTTGTGACTTGAAATTGAAAAGATTACTTCGATTTTAGACTTGAAAACCCCCCTCCCCTCCCTTACCTTCTTCTTCTCCTTCAGTCGTAGTACTTTGAATACCGCCATCGACAGAACTCGAAGATTCTGTAGTTAAGACAGGCTCGGTACTGTTGTTGTTGTTTACATTGTAGTTCACAACCGTGTTAACTTGGGAGGATGAAAGGCTTAAACGAAAGAAAAGCCTACTACAACCTAAAATCTAAACTCACAGAAATAAATGAAACAATAACGGGATACACACTGTAGCAAAAGCCAACATAATTCTTGAAGAATACGAAAAAGGTTTCGGTCACAATTGAGAAGAGGGAGAATGAACGAGATAAAATTGGGCTTTTATAGTATCCAAACATTTCTCTGTTTCAGTGCGAAAATTTGAGTGTTAAACAAAATGGACGGTTCGGTGCCAAAAATTTTAGCGGCGAAAAATAAGGAATTTAAAAAATGATAAAAAGCGCCTTAAGATTTTTTGTAGATTACTGGTTCAAATAATCAAAGAATCCTACGTCTTACTGTGTAAATCAATCAAATTATTTTTTAAAAAGATTTAACAGAAGTTGAATAAAATTAAATGGATTATATGTTTAATTCAATTAAGTTACCTAATTCTATTCCTATGTCATATTAAAAAAATATTTTTACCGATTGAAAGATGCTTTGAATTTTTTTTAGAGAAAAAAAATTTAAAAAAAGGTTGAAAAAATAAATAGTTTTCAAGTGGCGGACTCGAACCCTACTCCTAATTTCTAATATTCACCTCATCAGCCTGCGCCTTAAACCACTCGACCAACCACACATGCTAACAACTTTTCTATTTTCTCCTATTTATTCAACTCGAAACAAACTTGCTTCTACTTCTACATATTGCTTCTACATTTTCCCTTCACCGTTCAAAAAGTTATATTGACCTTGTATTATTGCTGCTTTTAATTTAAAAATGTCCGTTTTCTTCTTTAACAAGTTTTTTCTAGTTTAAAAAAGAGCAGTTTGAAAAATGAGAGATTTTCTTACCAAAAGAAGACGACCGAAATTTTTTATTTGAAAGAAACCACCAAAAAATTAACCATTTGAGAGAACGAAATGAATTGAAGCACAAGGTGATGATCAATTTTGGAAGAAAAAATTTGTAAAGAGCTCCTAAAGGCACATATAGAAACAATTAAGGAGTGCAATGAGAGAAGAGAACGAAGAAAAAAATTTTTTTAACGGGCGACTCTTCACAAAACAACTGAAATGACTTCTTCTTCTTCTTAATTTTTGCTTCTTTTAATTTACACACACACACAAAATTGTGTAAAATACCACTAAAATACTAATAGTCACTTTTATAATTTATATATCTGCGCAGCCTTTAACAGGTAAAAATGCAAAAGAAAATTTTTTATTTTTCTTTTAACACACAATAAAAATTTAAAAATTAATTTCAAACTTTACTTCTTAAACAGTTTAAAATAATTACCTCTAAAATTTATATTCTAATAAATAACCCATCCATACCCTTTAAAAACATTTAGGGATAAGCAGGGGTTGTGGGATCTCTACAGTCATTTACCTACTTGCCCCTTCTTCTTAGCCCTTCCGCTTCCACCTTCCTTCCGTTTTCCGCTTCTAAAAATGCCGGAAGAAAAAAATGCCCTGCTAATAGAGAGGACTAATCCAGGACCCTATTCCGGTTTCTGAATTTTTAAAAAATTCCTGGACTGGAGGAAATAAGAAATCTCATTACTCCCTTGCCTTCCTACTCCCTCTATACAAGAAAATTCTAATTTCAACCCAAAATTTTATTTAAATTTTAGAATAACTCCAAAAAACCCTTCCGCAAACCCCTTCCAAAAAAATTATGCAAATATCTATTTTAATATTATTTTATTTTTAATCCAAAAAAGACACAAGTCAATTTATACTGCAACACGTAATAATAATAATATTATTATTAAATTCTCTCCCCTTCCAAAACACTAATCATAAACACATACAATCTTGTTTATGGAAAGACTGGTTTAAATAAATATATCCAATTTTAAATATAAACTGACTCTCTTTCAGTCAATTAAATAAAAATAAAAATTTATTTTGGACATATATATTTATTTCCGTCGTTCCCATTTTTAAAAACCCCCCAACCACCCAAATAAAAATATTTTATATCTGATTTATCTCTATCTGATCACTCCCCCATTCCCCCGATTAAATTCATTTTTCCGTCCCAAAATCAAAACAAAATATTTAGAAAAGCTATTTATTTTCCATTCTAGCAGCAATTTATTTATTTAAATTAACACAAAATAAATTTTTTTTCTAACCAATTAATTTTCCCTTTTAATTAATTTCCCCTATATTCCCCTTATAATAGAGAAATTCTGATTTTATTTAATTTTAAATTGTATTTCACTATCTATCTATCAAAAATAAAAATTCTGATTCCAAAAAATACAAGAAAAACACAAGTAATAATAATAATTCTGATTTCAAGAAAAATACAAAAATTCTGACAGAAAATACAAATTCTGGTTTTAAAATAAGAATAAAATTCTGATATCAAGAAAATACAAAAATACTAGCAAAAATAGTTCTGATTTACACAAATTCTGAAGTAAAATACAAATAAAACACAAGTAATAAAAATAATTCTGATTTCAAGAAAAATACAAAAACAAAAGAAATTCTGGTTTCAAGAAAATACAAAAACACAAGAAATTCTGATTTCAAGTGAATACAAAAGCACTAGAATTCTGATTTCAAGAAAATACAATTAACACACTAGAAATTCTGGTTTCAAAAAAATTCTGATTTAAATCAATACTAATTCTGATTCCGAAAAATACAAACTAAAATACAAGTAATACAAATAATTCTGATTTCAGAAAAATACAAAAACACAAGAAATTCTGATTTCGAAAAATACAAACTAAAACATTAGCAATTAAATAATTCTGATTTTAAAATACACACTAACAATAAGCCAAGCATTCAAAATCAATTTTACACTACCCACAAAAAATTTTAAAAAATTATTAATAATTTAACGGAAATGATCCCAATCATTTTAAGAAAGAAAACAAAAATAATATATTTTCTGACCTTGACATACAAAATTAATAAGAAAATACAAAAATAATATGTTTTTAAGATTTTGTGTACTTGTAACGGTCAGTTAAAGGTACAAATAAATTTTGCTGTTGTTTTGGGCGGTAAAAAGCAAAGAATAAAAATACAAAAAAAATTTTTTTTGTATTTTTAAATATATCGCTACTTGTCATCTCTCTAAAAATAAAAAGAATCCCATCTTTTATTTAAATCTGAAACTCATTTTTATTTTTAAAAATATTTTAAAAATAAAAATAAAATTTTTAGCATGTCTACAAATAATAATAATCTCTGTGTAGACCCTTCAAGATTAACTCTAGCTATTTTTGGGGCAATTTTTGGCACTCTTTTGTTGTGTACTGGGTTTGCGTTAGCAGTATGGTATTTGGTTAGAAATCATCAATTTGGTAAGAAATATATTAAATCAGAATTTTAGTTAAAATACAAAATTCTGGTTAAAAATACAATTTCTTAAAATTCTGATTTTGAAAACACACACATTAAAATAAAAATTCTGAAAAAAATACATTCTAAAAATACAAAATTCTGATTTTAAAACACAAAATTCTGACAAGCAAAATAAAAATTCTGAAAAAAATTCTGATTTAAAAATACATTTTGAAAATACAAAATTCTGATTTTATGAAAAATAAATTCTGATTGCTAAAACACAAAATTTTCTAAAAAATACATAAAAATTCTGATCTCTAAAACACAAAAATACTTTAGCAGATAAACTACTCTTTCCGGAAGCAGCCGGAAAATACAATAATAGACGGAAGAAACAACAACAAAAAACAGAAAATGAAGCAGAAGCAGCCCAAGAAAACAATACTATTGAAGAAATTCCTTCAACAACCCAAAAAGAATTTAAAAATGAAATAGTGCTAGAAATGAATGAAATAAACAAAACAACAAAAATAGTTGAAATAAAATCACCTCAAGCTCAACAACAATCATTGTCCCCTAGAGAGGAGGAAATCTATGGGACAGCAGAAGAATATCAAATAAAAAGACCCCCAAAAATTAAGGAAAAAAATTTTGAAAAAATAAATGAAGAAAATAATAGAAAAATGGAAGAGGAAGAAGAGAAAATGAGGGAAGAAGAAGAAAAGAAGAAAGTAGAGGATGAAGTGGATAAGATGAAAAAGACTGAAATTAGTAATGGGAAGAAATTTATGAGTGAGGTGAGAGACTATAATAATTCTGAAACACAAATTCTGGTTAAAAAAATACAAAAAAATACAAAAGCATTATTAACTGAAAAAATACAAATTCTGATATATAAAAATACAACCAAAATTTGTACAAAATAAAAATTCTTAAATACAAACAAAAATACAAATTCTGGTTTTCTAAAAATACAACCAATAATTCTGACAAAAGAAAATACAAATTCTGATTTACAACAATAGGAATTCTGATTTATAAAAGCCTTATTAATTTGAAAAAATACAAATTCTGATTTTTAAAATAAAGAAAAATACAAATTCTGATTTTCTCGAATAAAGAAAAATACAAATTCTGATTTTTTAAAATAAAGATTGCCGCCGCTGCTGTAATTTCTACCATAAACGGAAATTCTAAGAAAAATGAGGGTATTAATGAAATAAAACAACAACAAAACACAACAATTATTGGATCACCAAAAAATGGCAAATTATTAAAAGAAGAGAAATTAGAAAAAATAAAAGATGATGAAGAAGAATATTTAAAAAATAATTTATTAAATAAAGAAAAAATAAATGGATGGACAGAAAATAATAAAGAAAAAGAGGAAGAAAATGAGGAAAATATTCAACAAGAAGAAGAACTTGTACCTGAACATTTACGTTCAATGCTATCAGAAGAACAATTTGGAATGTTAGAAGCAAATAAACGCAGATTAGAACAAGAACGGAGACAATTAAGGGAATTGGGTGTTATTTTTTAAAAAACAGAATTTTTTAAAATTAAATAATAGAGTAAGAATTATTATATAATAATTCTGATTTTTGTATTTTATTTGGTTTTAATTTTTATTTGTATTTTTCCGGAAAATTCTGATTTTATTGTTTGTGTTTTTCCGGAAATTCTGATTTTATATATTTTTATTTTTCCGGAAAATTCTGATTTTATTGTTTGTGTTTTCTGACTATATATAATTCTGATTTATTTTAATAAATTCTGATTAAATAATTCTGATTTTATTTATTTTCTGTGTTTTATATTAATTTTTGTGTTTATTGTTTGTGTTTTTCCGTTGCAATAAATCAGAATTATATGTATGTTTCTGAAACAATTCTGATTTTTGTATTTTATTTGTATTTTTCCGGAAGTTGATTTTTGTGTTTTTTTTATTTTTCTGATTATCAGAAATGTATTTTTGTTTTTAATTTAATTTATTCTGATTTTGTATTTTCTAATTTTGTATTTTCTGATTTTTACTTAATAGGAGATAAAATGTTTCAGAAATTAAATTTAATTGTTAATTATAATGTATTTTTATTATAATTTATATTTTTGAATATTTACATTTTTTGGATAAATTATTAAAAAATTTATTAAAAAATTTAATTTTTTTTACAAATTTTCTCCACGTATACCAATTACTCCACATCCAAAACGAGGACCAGCATTTCCAGTTTTTAAACTTTCATCATTCCCTCCACGCCCAAGATCATCAACCTTTTCATGCACTAAAAGTCCCCTTCCAATAATATTGTTTACACCCTTAAATGTCATATAACGATCTCTGATGCGTATTATGGCTGTACCGTTTTCCTTTAAAGTGAAAGGAATTTTTGGATTTTTTTTTAATTTTTAAACAAAAAAATGCTTTAATTAAATTTTGGAATTTGTTTTGTAAGAGTTTGAAAATATGATTTTTCAATTTAAAAGATTAAACTTACATCAGCCTGAATATTTCCCAAATCACCAACTAAAAAATTTATTATTTTTTAAATATTTTTATTTTTTAATGATTAATTAGAGCTTTACATTTTCAAATTGCTGGGCCCGTATAGTACAGAGCAGGGATCCTGCCGACAAAAAAGTAAAATTACCGATTTTGGGAAATCAGTAATCGGGTCAACAGAATCCCTGGTACAGAGCATGCTAAAATAAACAAAGTGACCCAGGCCAGGTTTTCCGGGCTAAAACCATGAAAGCCGGAAACGAGTAAGAAGAATTTTATTAGCATAACAAGTTTCAGAGCTACCATCCCGTAAGGCCTCAGACCTACTCCCGGCTAGGTTTCAAACTTAAAACGATTACCATGTCTTTCCAAATCCTGAGGCGCTCCATGGTGTCTTTTATGAGGATTAAAGTGCAATCCTGCACCTGTACAGAGTTGGCTTAAATCACCAAATTGGTGTACATGGAAGCCGTGCAGACCTGGAGGGAGACCTTTAAGGGTGCCATTTATCTAGAAAAAAATTTTTTTGAGAAATTTTTTTTCCAATAAATCATCAAAAATATGCAAACTCACAGCCATCAATCCTTTCCCAAGATCACAAAAATCGACAACTCCCAAAGGCTGAAGGGCAGTTAATTCGGGAGACTGAACAGCTTTAAAGAGATAAGCACGGGCCTCGGTAACTAAATTTGTGAGAAATATTTTTTAATTAAAAATAATATTCAAACCTTTAGGTTCCCCACCAGCATTATGTACAATGCAAAAAAGTGTAAAAATAAATATAGAAAAAGAATGTATTGAATTTAGCATTTTTAAAATGTTTAAATTTAATAAAGCTCTAAAAATCTAAAAATTTTTTAATTCGAATTATACATAAATTTAAAAATTATCTCCTCCCAAAAGTTAAATGGGCTTAAAAAAAATTTTTTGAATAGCCTATATGCCCAAAAATAAAAATACTAATTGCAAAATTCTCCACAAAACTCACCTATTTTTATAAATATTTTTTTCAAATTGCCAACATTATTTTTAAATTTATGAAATTTGATTATATCAAACACTAAAGTAAATTTTAAAAAAATTAAAAAAAAATACAGTCGCGGAAAAAAGTATGGAAGCGCTAGAAAATTTTTTCTTAATTCTTAATTTTTCATTCAAAAAATACGTTCTATATACCAATCGAAAGCTCTATTCGTATCTCAGTTGACATGTTTCTGCATTTTTCATGAAAATGAAAATTGGCCGAGATAATCCGGATCTGCCAGATATACCAAATCCCATTTTCTCAGAAAAATTTTTCGGAAAAAATTTAACAAACCCATTTGATAAAGCATATTTTTGTGAGTATTTACCACAAAACCGCTTAGAAATATCTATTTCCGGTCCAGAGATATGATTTTTTAAAAATGGCATTTTTCGTCTATTTTTGCAAAAAATTCAATTTTTAAGCGAAAAATGCCATTTTTAAAAAATCATATCTCTGGACCGGAAATAGATATTTCTAAGCGGTTTTGTGGTAAATACTCACAAAAATATGCTTTATCAAATGGGTTTGTTAAATTTTTTCCGAAAAATTTTTCTGAGAAAATGGGATTTGGTATATCTGGCAGATCCGGATTATCTCGGCCAATTTTCATTTTCATGAAAAATGCAGAAACATGTCAACTGAGATACGAATAGAGCTTTCGATTGGTATATAGAACGTATTTTTTGAATGAAAAATTAAGAATTAAGAAAAAAATTTCTAGCGCTTCCATACTTTTTTCCACGACTGTATTAAAAAAAAACAAAAAAATAAGCTTAAAATAAATAAACCCAAATACCTATATTTTAAAAAATATTTTTACCAATAATTATAATGGAAAAATAAAAATAAATAGTAAATAATTCTCCACCAAAAATATGATACATTTTAGTAAACAAAAAATTGTTTGAAAAATAATACTCAAATTAAAAATAAATAAAAACAAGTTTTTTTTTTGGATTTTTTAATAAAAAAATTTTATTAAAAAAAATTTTTTAAAAAAAAATAAAAATATGAGTATAAAAAATAAGAATTAAAAAAACTTAAAAAATTTAGAAAAAAAATCAAAAAAAAATCTTAAGGTTTGGGTTAAATTTAACACTAAATTAATAAAAACAGGTTGTGGAAATTTCTAAAAATTATATTTTTTTAAATAAAAAATAAAAAAAATATTCTTAGAAAAATAAAATAAACATTAAAAAATAAATATTCAACCTTCGACCATAAATAAATTAGAAGAAACAATTTTGTGGAACACACACACTCGCGCATGCGTGACTTTTAATTTATTGATATGTGGAAAAAAACACTCCCCACAAGTTTCTTTTAATGATTATTCTGGTTATGGGTAAATAAAGGTAAATAAAAATAAAATACAAAAAAATCAGAAGAACAAATAAACACAACAATCACAAAAATACCCAGAAAAAATAAAATCAGAAAACACAAAAATCAGAATTACGTATAAAAAGTAAAACACAGAAAACACAAAAATCAGAATTAATCAGAAAAAAAATACAGAAAACACAAAAATAAAATCAGAATTAATCAGTAAAATAAAAATCAGAATTTAAAACACAAAATCAGAATTACTCAGCAAAAATAAAATCAGAATATACAAATCAGAATAAAAATAATAGCGTATTAAAATCAGAATTATTTATTAAATTTTTATCCATGTCGAAAATACAATAAAAATACATATACATCAGAATTTAATGTATTTTAGTATTTTAATAAAAATAGAACAGAAAAACAAAGCAGAGAAGTTTGCGAAAAACAGAAACAGAATTAATGTAAAATTAAAAATAAAAATGTTTCAGGGGAATGTTGAATACATAGATGATTTTTAAGTTTATAAACTGGCCATTTTTATAGAGGAAATAAATTTAAAATTATTAAAAAAAATTTTTTTTTTATTTTTAACCTGCCTAAGACTTAACGTTTTAAATTTTAAATATTATATTTTTGTTTGACAAATTAAAAATCGTGGTTTGTCATAGTAAAAAAATTTTTTTTTGAAGTTTAAGAAAGCATATAAAACAGGGTTCGGATTCGTACTTATTTTGGAAGTACAGTACTTACAAATCGACCTTCGTACTTCCAAAATTAAAAATGTACTTATTTGTAAGTACGTACTTACAAATAGACTTTTTGGTTAAAAAATTAAATTTAACATTAAAAATTCCAAAATTTGCGCCTGCGGCGCAAAAAATGGAAGAAATCTGGCTCCTAACCCCTTAAAATCGTCAAAATTTTCGCCTGCGGCGCAAAAAATGGAAGACTTTTTAGCAGCTTCGGCACTAAAAAAGGTTTTTGAAAAATTTTTTTGTAGCGTACTTACATTTTGAAAATTTTTTCCCCTGTGTACTTCCAATTTGAACTTTTTGTACTTACACTTGACATTTTCTCGATCCGAACCCTGATATAAAATGATAAAAATATTTTTATAATATTAGTAAACATTTATAGAAAAAAATGATTTATAACAAAATTTTTTCAAAGAATTTTAGCGAACATACATATAAAAAATTATTTTTTTTCCCAAATTTAAATAAAATTTAAAGAAAAATGTTTCGGAAATTGACAAAAAATTTTTTTCTTCTAAAAAATAATTTGATGAATAGCGGAAACAGAATTTCAATCGAAAGAAAAAATTAAATAATAAAGCGAGAGACATTTGGATTTGATAATTTAAAAAAAATAGATAAAAGAAGCTTTCTTAACATGTGATTTAATAAAAATAAAATATTTTTAGAGATCCAGAGAAGGGGAATATAAAATAAAACCATGAGAAAATTTGCGCAAAAAAAATTAAATAGAGGTGAGAGAAAGGGATGATTGATATAATAAGCAAAATTAATATAAAAAATAACATTTAAAAATTTTTGAAAAAAATATTATTTTAAAAGGAGGTAAAAAATTATTAGAAAAAATGGCAAGTAAAATCTGAAAAAAATTCTATATTTTTTAAAGGTTTAAAGAGAGATGGTAGAATATATTAATTAAAAAATATTTATAATTTTAATTATTTCAAAAGCAAAAAAAAAAACAATTTTTTGATTAGCTTAGCTTGGGTAGTAGAATTTTTTGAAATTCAAGAAATATTCAAAAATTCTAAAACAAACAGTTTAATTTTTAATTTCCCCCACAAAATAACCAAGTCATTAAATAAAAATTATCTGCTTTTTTAAAGTACATAAAAAAATAGTTCGGCAAGTCGAATAAAATAACAAAAAGATGGCATAAGTTGACCGATATTTGAATTATTAAATTTTTTCTGAATAAATAGTAGATAAATTCTTAAAAATTTTCAAAAAAAAATTTTTTTTAATGGTCAAACAAATTTCAGTCAACCCTTTTAAATAATTAGAGCCCGGCCAAAAGTGGCTTCGGTTAATTTCAAAAATACGAAAAAAGAATCGAGCAGGGTCTTAATTTTAACAAAGCCTAATCTATACATTAAAAAATCACATAATCATGATTTTTTCAAATAAGTTAAATTTATTTTTTCATTCAAATGAGTTTAAAATATTTAAAATATACAACCTATATTTAAGTTAATATATTGTCACAAAATTGTACAGAAAAATAAATAAACAAACATTTTTTTAAAAAATGAGGCAAAATAAAATTTTTTGGGAATAGAGACACCGGACATTGGGAAAGTCATAAAAGAATAAAGATCTCGAATAGTGTTAGGCATTTGCGATTTTTCGAGATCGAGATTATCGAAAAATCTCGATATCAAAAAATCTCGATTTTTTCAAAAATTGATCGAGACGAGATCGATAATCTCGAAAAAAATTCGCGATATCTCGAAAAAAATCACGCGAAATCTCGAAAAAAATCTCGCGATATCTCGAAAAATATCGTCGATATATCGTCTCGTGACTAACACTAATCTCGAAGAATATCAATTCTCAAAAAATTTGAACTCAATAATTAAGATTTTTTTTGAGATCTCGTCTTGGTCCGGAGTCTAATTTTTTAAGTATAAATTTTAATAGCAAACAATTTTTAACGAAAAAGCACCAAAAAACCGGAGATAAAATTCTCAATTTAAATTTAAAACTAGAAAAAAAATTGGGTACAGCCCAAATAGGCGCACAGCCAAGTAGGCGCAAAGCCATAACTTGCTTCAAAAATTTCCAAATTTTTCAAATCTTGTAAAAAACGATTCCTCTCATCGAGCTAAAGAGAATGGTACCAAAATTATTAAGGTCCAGAAATTTTCCAAGTAGTTAAGGCTTTGCGCCTACTTGGCCGCGCGCCTACTTGGGCGTGTCTCAAAAAATTTTTTTTAAAAAAAGCACCTACTTGAATTCATCTAATAGAGAAGGACCTTTTTATTTTTTTGTCTATGGAGGTGTCATTGTAGATATATGGCCTGTAAGTACACAAATATCCTCTTCTTCTTCCTCTTCCTCCTCTACTTCCTCCTCATTAATATCATCAACAGCCTCATCTTCAACATTAACATCTTTTACATTTTGTGAGGATAATAAAGAAGAGATTTTGAGGTTTGTACAGCGACGTCTTTTAATCATTTTTAAAACAATAAGACTATCTTTACCAATTAAATGATAATCTTTTGATGGGTCATTTAATTCTTGTGTTATTGTTCCACGGAAGAAAGATTTTCCCTTGAAATTGATTTTTAAAATTTTTTTTTTAATTTAAAAAAAATTTTATAGAATTTTAAACAATTTTCAGAATCCTAAAAACATTTCAGAGATTTCCAAAAAAATTTTTTTTTAATTTTGAAAAAATTTCTCCTCCACGGAAGAAAGATTTTCCCTTGCAATTGATCTACATATAAATTCTTTTTTATTTAAAAAAAATTTTTTAAGAATTTTTAAACTATTTTCAGAATCCTAAAAAAATTTCAGAAATTTCTTGAAAATTTTTCAAAAAATTAAAAAAATTCCCATCCTCTCTCTTACTTGTATTCCATGTTTATGAAAGCCTAAAACAGAATCAGATAAAGGAATTGCATATTCCAAACGAGAATCAAAAATAAAATGTGTTTGCATTAAATCAGTTTTCTTTTGATTGCCATTCAAGTCAGTAATGAGAATCTGAATTTATAAATTAATTTTTAAAAAATATTTTTGATTGAATTTTTATTATAAATTTAATAAAGACTCCTTAGGAAAAATTTTTTTAAAAAGCTTAATCCTTAGGAAAAAATTTTTCCAAAAAAAAGAAAAAAATAGCAAAAGGTTCTTTTTATTTGAAAAGGCTCTTTTTATTTGAAAATTTTTGGTCATAGCTTGTGGTGGTTCCTTGTTAGCTTATTCAAATGTATAAGGAGCATTTAAGGCCCAAAAAAGTAGATTATTTTAAATTACCATAAACATAGTGGCATGAAACCAATGCCCAAGATAATTGACAAGAAAAAATTAACCAGAAACAATAAGAAAATTTTTAAGAAATCTACTTGTAGGTATAGGGTTAAGTTAGCTTTCAAAACTTAATTCGTATCGAATTTAGCTTCGGAAAAAAATTTTCTGTTAATAAAATCAATAAGATTGGACCCTCATTTGACCGGAAAAATAAAAAAAATTTGACCACACCTGATTATCATAAGCCAAAAATAACGTATCTCTATCCAATTGTTTCAATGCCACAACATTTTCAAGTTTTTCCCTCCATCTCCAAATAGTTCTTCCGTTAATATCTGAACCCATTATACCATTTTTACTACAAAAATTGTTGGGGGAACGTCCTTGTGGAGTAAAACAACATTCATCATCTGACGATCCACAACCACCAAAAATGTCAGAAGTAAAGAGATCAAAAAATTGTCCTCCAACACCACCGCCACAACCATTTGAAGAAGAAACTCCATTATTGCTATCTGGGCCGTTAAAATTAACAAATTGAAGTTCTAAACGGTCTTTTTGATAAGTTTTATTATTTCTCAGATCATTTAGCAATTGTTGTGCTGTACCAACAGGGGAAGTTAATGCACGTGAAATTCCAATACAAACCTTAACAAAAAAAAATTTAAAAAAAATTTATTCAGGGATTTAACAGAAATTTTCAACGAATCAACCACTTCAAGCAGAGATTATTCAGAGACGAGGGAAAATTTATTTAAATTTTTTTAGTAAAGGACCTCAATTTTAGATAACCCTTAATTTTTTTTATTTTTTCATAATTCTGAAAATTTTGTTTAATAAAATCAATGATTGAAAACCCAATTCGATTTAAAAAACCATACAAAAAATTTTTTAATACATTTTTTAAAGTTGGTTTGACCAAGGGAGAGTGAGTTTCGAATGTTAGCAACACTCGAAAATGTGTACTTAAATAATAGAGTTTCGTCTGTATTTCTTTGAATAAACCAAAAAATTTATTTCTAAAAATAAAATTAATACCATAGGATAATCAGAATTAGCTGCTCCAGAACCAAAAACTAAATTAAACGGTTTATGTGGATGTTGAGGTCCCAAATAGGGAAGAGCCAATTTATCCAATTCTACACGTTTAAGCCAAACAAAACGAGTTAAAGGATCATACCAACGAAATAATAAAACTGAAAAAAATGTTAGAGAAAATTAATAATTTTTTTAATTACCAGCATTTGGAACAGCACAACAAAGATATAATTCACCATCATTAATACTTCGTTCAACATTGCATTGATAACAATCCCTAAAAAAATAAATTCAAAATAAAACACAAATACAAAAACACAAAAAAATAAAAATCAGAATAATGAAATAGATAAAATTCGCATAACAAATCAGAACTAAACTCTGAATTATGAAGAAAATACAAAAATCAGAATTATTAAAAAATACATAAATCAGAATTTTGGAAAACACAGATTAGAATTTAGAAAATAAACCCGAATCAGAATTAAGAAAAATATTAAAACCAGAATTATAAGAAAAACACAAACGAAAAATAAACAATTCAGAATTATGAAAGAAACACAAAAATCAGAATTATGACAAAAACACAAACCAGAATTATTAAAAAAACAAAAATCAGAATTAAGGAAAAATACTCAAATCAGAATTATGAAAAACACAAAAATCAGAATTATAAAAGAAACACAAACCAGAATTATTAAAAACACAAAAATCAGAATTATGAAAGAAACACAAATCAGAATTATCAAAAACACGAAAATCAGAATTAACCTGAAAACACACAAGTAAACTTACTTCGTTTCAGGCATTCTGATTGACCCAATTAAAGCTTTAGGTTTAAACTTTTCTGGAAGCCTTTGCAATTTATCAGCCAATTTTTGTGTTATTAATTCTTGTTGAAATAATTGAAGAAGATCATGTCTATACAAATAAGGCGTTTTTCCTTGTAAGGCAGTTATTGTGTCGTTAACTATATGAAGCCAGGTACATCGACGTTCGTGGAGCTTTAAAATAAGGAAAAAATTAATTCTTAAAATTAAAAATCAAATTTAAAAAGAATTTTTAAATTAATCATTTTAAAAATCGGGTTAAAAATATTCTCCAGAATTATAAAAATATTCTCCGAAATATTAAAATGTCAAAAAATATATAAAAGGTTAGAATTGAATTTTTAAAAATACTTTTCGGGTCAAAATTGATTAAAAAAATATTTTTTTAAAAAATCCCAGACTGAAAAAATTTTTTAAATACGAAAAATGAAAAAATATATTATCAGAAAATATTTATTTAAATAAATTCTAACTCCAAAAAATTACAAAAAAAATTTCCAAAAAAAACCTGAACTAACGGCGCTTCATCCTCCCCAGACATATCACTCAAATCCAAAGCATAAACACCCTGTTCTGCTCCCAAAACCATAAATTGTTTTCTGTTAGCAGGGTGATACCATTGTGCACAACAATTGACATTTATTGGGCTTTTGTGTAAAACTGTTACAAAACAAGCACCCATTGTAACTTGGGGAGTTGGGACCTTTAAAAAAATTTTAAAGAAATATTTTGGGAAAATTTTTTGGTACTTTTCCGTTATCCTTTCAAAAATCTCTTTTTTCTTCCTTCCTTATTTTCGAACCTAAAGGTGTCAGAGATTTGCTGCCTTAAGTCGGAAATAACACAAATGTTAGAAGTCGACCAGGGCTGCATGCAATCGCAAAAAAATCCGCAACTCGCAATCTGTAATTGCGTGCAGCGCTGAAGTCGAATTTAGTGGCGATTTTTAATTTTATATTTTTTTGGGTTAAAAAAAGAATAAATGGAGGAAAAATAAAAAAAATAAGGAAGTGGAAAACGGAAAACCAATACAATTTTAAAAAATCAAAAAAAAATTAAAAAATAAAAACCATTCCAAAACAACAAGTCATAGGTCTAGATTGAAATGGATGATGAGTATGATGTTGATTTATTGCAGTTCCATACTTTTTTGCAGCTGGACTATTATTACTAATGTTGTTGTTTTGAGTACTTGGACTAGCGAAAGGACCATTTTGATTTATTGCTAAAATTAAAAATTTTTTTTATTTATATTAAAAAATTCAAGGATATTTTCTAGTCAAAAAATAAACTTAAAAAAATCATGCAAAAATTATTTGCTCAACTTTTACACTTTTCTTAAATCGTTAAAAAAATCAAAAGAAACGGAAGAGATAAAGTAAACAAAAAGTAAATCGAAAGCAGTTGTTTAAAAATATCAGAAAAAGCTTTCGTTTCTTTTTTTTCAAATAATGGACAATTCGATCTCTTTACTACCTATTTTTAATTAAAAGAGTCCAAAAATAGCCCGTCCAATAAATTTAGAGATAAGACCGAAATAAGATCATGAACAAAAATCTTTCGGTTATCAAAATAAATATTTCTAAAAAATCCCATTCCTGTCTCTATTTTTGACATTACGAAAGAAAGTTAAAAAAAAATTAAAAAAAAACATTTAAGAAATAGAACAAAGTATTTATTGAACGTGCTTATTTTTAAAACCCAAAGGACTCCCCAAAAAATCCCCAAAAACATTTAAAAATTAAAAAAAAAATAAACCATAATAATAATTAGAAGATTGTTGTTGCACATTTAATAAAGATGCCGATTTTGAACGTAATCTATTCCATTTTAATTTTAATGATTCATCTATTCTAGCCAAAATTTTCGAAGCTTTTTTTGTTGTTGGAGTTCGAGTAATTAAAGAAGGAGATTTTGGTGCGCTACTTAATGAAGAATGTGAACGTTGTGGTTGAAGTTGTTGTTGTTTTTGGTTTGAAGAATTTTTTGGAATATTTAAATTTTTTGGCCTTTTTTGAGGAGAATTTGGTTGTAATGGAGAAGAAGAAATTTGAAATGAAGGTTGTTCAAAAATATTATTACCATCATTATTTTCCTTTAAAAAAATTATATTTTTAAAACATTAGTGCAAACTAGCGTTGTAAGTTAACCGCCGAAATGAAAACTTTTCGGCCCTGTCCGGTTTCTGGTATCAAAAGGCAGTGGGTCCGGATATCCAAAAATTTCCTAAGAACCGACAGCCCCATGTGTAACAATGATCAATAGAAATCAGCCGATTTTTAATATCAATATGTGAGATGATTGACTATCTCAAATATTATTATAAAAATTTAGAACAATTTTCTGACGAGTCAAGGGCTCCAAAGGATTAAAAAAAATTCAATAAAAAATTCTAAAGAAATTCTTAAAAATTAACCTGAAGAGTCAAATCAATAATTCTTCCACTTGCCTCTCCCTGTGACGCAACCAAAGTTTTTTCGCTTTGATAAGAAATTTGTTGATTCCAGTCATCACCAAAAACCTTTAAATTAAACATCTTTCTTCTCCTTTTTATTAAAAATTTAAATAGGGTTGCCGTTTTCGAGTCGGGCCGACGGTCGAGTCATTTGTTTCGGGCTTCATTTTTATCTAGACGGCCCGACCGAGTCTTTTTCGAGCCAAATATTTTAGGCACGACTCAATCTTTCGACCCGAGTCGGTCCATTTTGGCAACCCTAATCCTAAAAATAAACCTCATCCTCTTCCCCAACATCATTTTCATCCATTCCCAAATTAACATGTCCATGTGGATTTGAAATTGAAGAAGAAATGGAGGAAGATGACGATGACGAAGATGGACGATCATCTGGTTGTTGAATAATTTTATTGTTTCTCAAATTCTTCCGTCCATTTTTCTGACGATTATTAATGTAAGGAGATTTAAATTGGTGTAAATGATGAGAAGCAAAATTTTCAACTTGATAAGTAGCTGTTTTTGATTTTTCTTCTAAAATGAATAAAAAATTTTTTTATTAGTTAAGAAATATTAAAAGGTTGCAAACTCTAAGCGATAACAAGCCCAAGGGGTGGGGTGGTTTTAAAGCCACATCGGGGGCTAGTTTCAAAAGAAACGTTAGGGTGTTACACTCACGACTTATGTAACACTCCCGCAAAGAACCATTTTTTGGAATTTTTATTCCATAAATTTGAGACAAAAACAAGAAAAGGACCAGTGACATTGTTTGATTGGGCATTTATTAAAATGTTCGAATGTCGTTGACCCTGTGATAACCTTTTTATTATTCAGAACAGGTATCTAGTTAATGTACCCATGTATTGATAATTTAGTCCCATGATACTTATTTTTGCTCATAAAACACCTATCGTTCTTAAACAAACTCCTAGAAATCTAATTTTCAATAAAAAAAACTATTAAAAACCTTGTTCAGATTCAGAAGATTCCCTCAATTTATTTCCTCCATTTTCTCTTTTCCCACATTCCTTTTTACTTCTCCTAACCTCTTTTTCAACAATTATATCTTCATTATAATCATTTTGTTGTTGCTCATCTCTATCAATTCTGTCTGGATGATTTACCCGGTCGAGTAATTCACGAATTAAACGAGAACTTAGAGCACCCGAAACAAACGGATTTGTCTTCAAAAAAATAAAAATTTCAAAAATTCTAGAAAAATTAAAAAAACCGTAAGTAATTTATCTGGTGATGGACGCTTTTTTGGATTTTTTGTTAAACAGGCTTTAATAAATTGAGTAAAAGTTGGGGACCTAAAAAATTTTTAAAAAATAGAGAAAAACCGATTTTTAACTTCCAAACCATTTTTTCTTGTCCTTCAATTTTGGCACTTTGTAATTCGATTTAGTCATCAAATGCAAAACTTGAATTGGAGGCAATTCAAAATATGGCGGTTTAAGCTCGGCTAGTTCAATTCCAGTTATTCCTACAGCCCAAACATCAACTTCAGAACCATAACCTCCACGGTTTTCAACATCAGCAACTTCAGGTGCCATCCTTTAAAAAGTAAATTATAATAAAACAAAATATAAATTTAGAAAAAAAAAGTAAAGGAGCGATCAAGAATCAAAAAAGGAAATTAAAAAATGAAAAAAAAAATCAAAAAGGTCTGATGTGAAATCGAACCCGAGCCTTAACTCTATCATCCCTAAAATTAAGCCAAGCACCCTAACCAATCAGCCACAACGACTAATTGAAAGGAACTTAATTTTCTTCCACTAACTATAGTCAAAATTTTATTTAAAATAATTAACCAGTAAGGTGTGCCAATGAAAGAAAGACGCTTTCCAAGCGTAGCAGTAATTTGGGCGGCAATTCCAAAATCGGCTAAAAAAATAAAATTTTAAATCCTCCCAAACTTTATGAAAAATTAAAAACCTAGTTTAATGTCTCCAGTGTGTGTAAGTAAAATATTTGCTCCTTTAACGTCACGATGCACTTTCCCTCGTTGATGAAGATACTTTAAAAATGAAGTTAAGTAAGTCGATTTTAGTAATAAACCTTTAGTCCTTTAAGTGTTTCTCTGCAGACGAACGCAATTTGGAGTTCAGTTAGAGGACCGGTCACTGAAAAAAGAATTATCCGCATTTTTAATATTGTCCGCAAAAATTTGCGGATTGTCCGCAAAAATTTCGCGGACAAAAAATTTTATTTTTTAACTTTTAACAAACTTTGATAAATGTCCTGTAACGATCCTCCACCACAATATTCCATCACTATCCACAACCTGTCCCTTCGCAAATAGCTGCCATTATACGCAATAATGTTTGGATGGACACAGTCCCTAAGCATCAAAACTTCTTGTTGGATAGAAGCAAAGTTGTCGCCGTGTTCCAATTTTACAATTTTTACGGCTGCAAAAAGGCCAGTTTTCAAGTCACGAGCCTTGTAAACTTCTCCATAGGAACCTTAAAAAATTTTGAATTTTTTGGGGTAATTGAAGAAAATTCAACAGACCAGTGCCGACACGTTGAAGGAGTTCATAATCACCACAGGGATCAGATCGTCTAATTGTGCCGTTCATTTTCTTTTTGAATAAAATATCAGTAAAAGTTTAATAAGTAGAATATTTTAAATTGACATATTTTCTGAAAGATTAAAGAAAAAAAGATTTGTTATTTTATTGGGCACGTGGGGGGAATTAGTGTAATTTATGCCCCCCCCCTCTTTTAAGTTTCCAATTATCCATTGGTCTAGGGTTACCCTTAGATCTACAACCGGTAATTTTCAATTTCGTTCCCCCCCTCTTTTTTTCCTTCCTCAAAGTATTACACAATGGTCAGTCAATCTTAAGTTATAGAACTCGTCGAGCTGTGTCGAATGACACCAAAATCGAAAAAAACGGACTTGATTGGACCGAAATACAGACCCCGGAAAATTGAACAACCACAGGGGCGATTTTTTGAAATTAAAAAAATTTAAGCAAATGGTAGCTCATTCGAAAGAGCTCTTCGAGCTGAGTCGAATGACATCAAAATCAACGTAATTGGACAAGATTTGGCAAAGTTACGACATTATTTAGACCTACCGGAGTCGATGATTTATGTCATATCTTTGTCAAATCAATTCGGATCACGTCGATTTTAGTGTCATTCGACTCAGCTCGACGAGCTCTTTCGAACGAGCTATCATTTGTATACTTTTTCGTCCTTTTGGTTTTTCGCCCCTGTGGTTGTTCAATTTTCCGGGGTCTGTATTTCGGTCCAATCAAGTCCGATTTTTTCGATTTTGGTGTCATTCGACACAGCTCGACGAGTTCTATAACTTAAGATTGACTGACCATTGTGTAATACTTTGAGGAAGGGAAAAAAGAGGGGGGAACGAAATTGAAAATTACCCTACAACCTTTGGAACATACAGCCCCACTCGTTTAGAACCATCCGTTAAACATACTAGAGATCGGAATTTTTGAAAAGCTTGGACCTGTTCCTAAACTCTGGGGTTTGATTTATTATCCTAGGCCGAATCCTCCTGGGCTTGTTGCCTAGGAAAAACCCAGGTCTTGGTCCAGACCCAGCTCGATCTCTAAAACATACCAACATTTTTTGGAAACCCAAAAGAGGTCTCAACAAACTAACGAAGGTCCCAGACCCCGTCCATAAGTCGCAACCCCAACCAATGTTAAAGAATAGGGTTGGATTTTTCCAACCGGGCCGACGTTCGAGTCATTTTTTCGGGCCTCGTTTTTATCGGGCCAGGCCGGTCGAGTTTTTTCGGGCCAAACAAAATTCGAGGCCCGATTCGATTTTTCGAACCGAACCAGGCCCCCAACCTTAAAAATAACTTAAAAATACTCATACAAAAATCAAAAGTACTAAAAAAAGGAAAAAGAGGCGCGTAAACGACACTAATTGCCCGCACGTGTTTTACTACATGAGACAATTAAATGACTAGAAATCCTTTTAAAATTAACCAAAAAAACTAAAGAATAAAGAAAGATTAACAAAGAAAACTTTAAAAAATGGGCCGCGTGTCCCAATAAACAAAAAATATAAATTTCTTTATTTTTGACGTTCTTCTGCTTGAAAGAGCAATTGCAATTGTCTGGGGAATATAAAAAATAGACTTTGAAAAATACAAAACACAAAAAAATATAAAAAAATGAGAGAGAATAGTTAAATGAGAGAGTGGAATAAGAAAAAAGTTGAAAAGATAAATTGTCATTTTAATTTAAACATAACGCCAAAGTATTTTTTTAACGCCAAAAATTAACAAATTTTAAAGTAAACACAACCGTTTCAGTCTCAAGGTCGTATTTTGGGCCATAACTTTATCAATTCTTAACCGATTTAAATAATTTTTGAATCATTTTAAAGCTCTACATGTGAGGATTATTTTATCTAACAGTGTCGATTTAATCAGAATATCCTACGAAAAGTTGTATTTTGATAAGTACGCGCAATCGTTATTTTTGAGCTTTATTCAGCTCTAACTTTGGATAGGTTGGTCTGATCAAATTGATCCTGTTAGATAAAATAATGCTCACATCAAGAGCTTTCTGTTGAAACTATAATATATTTTATTTTAAATCCAGAAAATTTGTATAATCTTCCTCAAAAAATGACTACAATACGTCCCAACTGGTCAAATTATGGGATATAGTTAGCGTCTTTTTGCTTATTCAAACAAAATTTTTATTTTTTTCAGGTTATAGGAAAAGCAGAAGGTCGTGGCCAAGAATGCACGGGCATGTAACAGGTTTTTTTCTTCCTGAGTTAAATAAATAATTGTTCGTTTTAAGCTGTGACAGTCGCATCAGATTTTCAAACTAATTACCCCCCCCCCCCCCTCCACGTGCCCAATAAAATGATAAATCTTTTTTCTTCTTTAAACTTTCAGAAAATATGTCAATTTAAAATATTTCTACTTATTAAACTTACTTTTACTGATATTTTATTCAAAAAAGAAAATGAACGGCACAATTAGACGATCTGATCCCTGTGGTGATTATGAACTCCTTCAACGTGTCGGCACTGGTCTATTAAATTTTATTTACCCCAAAATTCAAAATTTTTTAAGGTTCCTATGGAGAAGTCTACAAGGCTCGTGACTTGAAAACTGGCCTTTTTGCAGCTGTAAAAATTGTAAAATTGGAACACGGCGACAACTTTGCTTCTATACAACAAGAAGTTTTGATGCTTAGGGACTGTGTTCATCCAAACATTATTGCGTATAATGGCAGCTATTTGCGAAGGGACAGGTTATGGATAGTGATGGAATATTGTGGTGGAGGATCGTTACAGGACATTTATCAAAGTTTGTTTAAAAAAAATTTTTGCGGAAAGTCCGCAAATTTTTTGCGGATAAAAATTTAAAAATGCGGATAAATTTTTTTCAGTGACCGGCCCTCTGACGGAACTCCAAATTGCGTTTGTTTGTAGAGAAACACTTAAAGGACTAAAGGTTTTTACTAAAATTCTATTGATTTAACTTACATCTTTGAAGTATCTTCATCAATGGGGGAAAGTGCATCGTGACGTTAAAGGAGCAAATATTTTACTTACACACACTGGAGACATTAAATTAGGTTTTTAATTTTTCAGGAAGATTAGGAGGATTTAAAATTTTATTTTTTAGCCGATTTTGGAATTGCTGCCCAAATTACTGCTACGCTTGGAAAGTGTCTTTCTTTCATTGGCACTCCTTACTGGTTAATTATTTTTATTAAAATTTTGATTATATTTAGGTGAAAAAATTAAGCTTCCGTTAAGTAGGCTGATTGGTTAGGGAGCTTGACTTATTTTAGGGATGATCAAGTTAATGCTGGGTTCGATTCCATGGAGGTCCCCTTTGTTTTTCCTGCTTCCTTTCAATTTCCTTTTTTGATTTTTGATCGCTCCTTTTACTTTTTCTAAATTTGTATTTAATTTTAATTTTAAAGGATGGCACCTGAAGTTGCTGATGTTGAAAACCGTGGAGGTTATGGTTCTGAAGTTGATGTTTGGGCTGTTGGAATAACAGGGATTGAACTAGCCGAGCTTAAACCGCCATACTTTGAATTGCCTCCAATTCAAGTTTTGCATTTGATGACTAAATCGAATTACAAAGTGCCAAAATTGAAGGACAAGAAAAAATGGTTTGCAAGTTTAAAATCATTTTTTCCCCCATTTTTTAAAATTTTCAGGTCCCCAACTTTTGCTCAATTTATTAAAGCTTGTCTAACAAAAAATCCAAAAAAGCGTCCATCACCAGACAAATTACTTACGGTTTTTTATTTAAATTTTTTTAGAATTTTTTTTATTTTTTTATGAAGACAAATCCATTTGTCTCGGGTGCTCTAAGTTCTCGTTTAATTCGTGAATTACTCGACCGGGTAAATCATCCAGACAGAATTGATAGAGATGAACAACAACAAAATGATTATAATGAAGATATAATTGTGGAAAAAGAGGTTAGGAGAAGTAAAAAGGAAGGAGGGAAAAGAGAGAATGGGGTGAATACATTGAGGGAATCTTCGGCTTTTGAACAAGGTTTTTTTAATTTTATTAGAAATTAAATTTCTAGGGTTTGGTTAAGAACGATATGAGACCAGAAATAAATATGAGACTAAAGTATCAATACATGGCTAGATTAACTAAAACCCTGTTTAGCAAGGGCGTATCCAGGGGGTCGGTTTCGGGGGGGGGGCTAACACTGGGTGGGCGCAAAAATTTTTGGCGTTTACCTTGGCGTTCCGGACGCAAATTTTTTTGTACATAAATTTTTATCTTTTCTGCGCCGCAGGCGAAAATTTTTTGAATTTTAGAAGACTGTAGGCAAAAAAATTCACTTATTCAGCGCCGCAGGCGAAAATTTTTTTGAATTTGGAACCGAAGAAGCCAGATTTCTTCCTTTTTTAGCGCCGCAGGCAGAAATTTTTTGAATTTGGAGGGCCGTAGGCCAAAAAAGTTCACTTTTTAGCGCCGCAGGCGAAAATTTTGAGGATTTTGGAGCTCAAGAAGCCAGATTTCTTCCATTTTTTGCGCCGCAGGCGAAAATTTTTTAAAATTTGAGGGTTATAGGCGAAAAAATTTCACTTTTTCGACCATCCTTCTCCTAATTTTTTCCCCCTTTCCCCCATTTCGGGGGGGGGGGGGGGGGGGGGGGGGGCTCTAGCCCCGGCGTAGTGACAGAATACCCACAGACAAAAGACCCACAAGAAAAATTTTTTAACTAAAACTTTCGAAGAAATTTTCTGAAATTTTTGAAAAAGAATTCCAATTTCTCAAGGCACAAAATTAATAAATTTTAAAATATAAAAAACTATTATAAGTTTAATCAAAAGAATTTTTAGTGTTAAATTTTATGGATGAGTGCGATTTAAATAACTTAATTAGAAAGTGATTTGAAAAATTGGGTGATTAATTAGGATATGTAGGAATAGCATTGGATATAGAGAATATAGGGGTAAAATCTCGAATATCCGTGAATTGTGTATAACAGTAACCAGGAGAAGGAAATTAACAGTAAAACGGATATGTCAGGGATATACGGATATACTAATCCGCCTTTATACACAATTATCCCTCCATGTTACACGAAATATAAGTAATCTCTACTATCCCAAAGATCCCCGATATCCTTGCATATCTCCAATGCCGTTGATCGCTTCTAATCCTTCTATATCCCTCTATGTGGACTTAACTGACTCTCGCTATAATCCAGTTAATCCTAAATACCCCTTGCTTCTAAATATCCCTTCGATCTACTTTTCCCTTTCATCGTTACAGACAGGAATTTTGATTTTGTAAGGCTAATTAGCTATTTTTATACTATTTTTTATATCTGAACCTGATCGGATAAAGATTTTTTGACATGACATGTACCGGATTTTTCGGATAAAAATCCCGATAATTCAGGAAATCAAGATCCCTCTTTGTTAAAATAAGCTCTCCGGTAATTGGGAAAATATTCCCATCGTTGGAACAACTTCACCCGTTGTTGCAACATTCCTGTCGTGTAAGGAACACGAAATTATAATTATTTAATAAATTTAAATATTTCCTCCTATTTTTCCCTTTATTTCACCTGTCCGCGACAGGCAATTTCATAAATTATTTTCCCATAAACATCCACTTTGACCCCTTCTTCTCTCTTCTTTTTCCGGAAACTATTGTCTTTTCACCCCTAGTTAATACTATTTTCCATATCACTTCTCTATTCACTATTGTTTAAATCTCTGCCTATTGTCCATTATATCCCCTATATAAACAATAGGCAGATCTTCCCTATCATCTTCAGTTTCAATTTTCCATTAATTCTTTATAAAAATATTTAATTGTATTTTTAATTTTAAAGATAAATATTTTATTTAAATTCACTTTATTCAATAACTCTTGGGACCTAGCTTCCCCAAAAAATTTATTTGTCAAAGTAAGCTTTTAGTTGACAAAAGTGGTGCTCCGGGAGAGGCACCCCGACTAAATCTTACTAATAACTCAAATTTCAGTGGCGGAATCAATTAAACCTGCTGTGCTTCAACAAATACTTGCCTCGGCTCAAGGCGTGCATTCCGACAACACTAACTGCAACTGCTTGATTTGTGTTGTGAAAAAATTTGTTTCTACTCCTGAAACAACTACTCCAGATTCTGGCTCAAAAAATAAACTAAATTGTACATCTTCCGGTCGCGCCACAACTACTAATACAAGCTCGTCGTCTACTGCTGGCTCTTCCAATCCAACTCGTGGTAATAACCAGAAGCCAATTGCTGTTCCAAGTAAAGATATCAAGGCAACCGAAACAGATACTTCTGAGGATGATGATGATTGGCCTCCACCTCACAAAAAGTTTGTTGTTGTAAAGAAAACTCTTTGCCCCATTAATAAATTTTGCTTACCTTGTAATTGGATTAGGTCTAACCCACCGTCGGACACTGCTGTGAAAACAAAACCAGTCTTGGCTGAACAGCAAACTCCCAGAAGGCCTCGTTCACCCTCTACTCCAAGAATTGGAAGTGCCGGACGTTCACTGCCGATCGCTGCTCATAAAAGGCCACACTCTTCCCGGACCGACAACAATAACAAAAAGGTAAACTCCCGAATTGTAATCGCTGGGAGAACCAAGAGGGCTAAAATTCTTACTACTGCTATCTGGTCAAATCTAATCCTTCCAATAGCAGGATCATCAAACGACACGAGCAGAAGCAGTGATTCCCAATCGTGTTCACTCAAAGACTCCTGTCACGTGTCCAAAGGTGAATATAGTCTTTTTAAGAAGATTATTAAATTTTCCTCAAAAGAAGCCCGAAGTGAAAAATCAAATCTTGGAAGTACAGAAGAGCGAAGCAGAGAAAATAGCCGAAGCAAAAAAGAAGGGGGAGTCCGTACGTAAAGCAGCACAACTTGCTGAAGTGTATTCGCAAATTGGACAAACCTCTCGTGCTTGTGCATCTTTGTTTGAACGTCTAGCCGCTCTAATTAAAGAATAAAAGAATAATTAATTTAAATACTATTTAAACAAACTTACAATTGCATTAATTTAAATATCCATATACACACAATTGCTTTTAATTTTTTGTATTTAATATACAGCTAAAAATTGTATTTAAAATTAAAATAATAAATGGCAAATCGCACTTTCGCGGGACCGCTTAAAATGAGATTAGGTCCACTCAGGAAAAGAACCATTGGATATATAAAGTCGATCAAAGAATTATCAGATAATGGAGTAAACCCCGAAAGTATAACGAGTCTGAGAGCACAACAACTGAAATTAGCTAGATCTGTAGAAGTGTTGGAACAGATCAATACAGACTGGGCGAAGCTCATAGGTCTCGAGGCGCAGGATAGGAAGGAGGACATGTTGAAAGATTATAACACCCACGCGGAGGGGGAGGATGGTTTTATAGCCCTAATCGAAATAGCGAGGGATCTAAGTTGTGAAATCGAAGCTAAGCTGATTGAAGTCTCCTCGTCGTCTCATAATGATAATTCTGTCGCCAATACATCGGTTGCACATTCGACTTCTATTCGACTGCCAGTTTGTAATCTTCCTCTCTTTAATGGAAAGGTTTCGGACTGGCCAAGCTTCTGGAGTCTTTTTGAAGTTTCAATAGATAAAAATCATAGTCTAGACGATTCTGAAAAACTAACGTATTTACTTGCCTCCCTCGCTCGTCCTCATCCCTATAGTGAAGTGAGCGGATTTGCAATAACAGCCTTAAATTATCCATTAGTAGTGAACCATCTTAGGAAACGATTTGGGGATGAGATCTCAGTTAAACGATCATTGTATGGGGAATTAAATAAGCTTTGTCCTCGGGCATTAAAAACTGAAGACGTTCGTCAAAATTGGATAAATGTACATCGAATCACACAGCAATTGAAGGCATTAGGAGAAGAAATCGACAATGGTGCACTGCTACAACAAATTGAAAACAAATTCGGGGGATGGGCTAGTTGTGTCATACTTGAAGAGCAAAATAAAAATCCCACTAATTGGACTATTAACCGACTCCTAGACTCAATTGACAAGCATCTAAAAATTAAAGAAGCGGTTTATGGCCAAAGTTCCTCATCGAATTATAGACGCCCTCCTCCTCGCCAAAATCATAATGTATTTACTAATAATATAGAGAGGGATAAAAACACTAATTGGCGGGAACCAAAACCAGAAATAAATAGATATTCCAATGAAACAAATAAAAAGAGAAGGCCATGTGTCTTTTGTGAGATCGATAATCACAGTTCCGTCCAATGTAAAAAATATATAAATTTTGAGACCAGAATACAAAGGTTGAAAGATTTGAGAAAATGTACCAAATGTTTCGAGCGGAATCATATTGCCAAATATTGTAAAAATAATAAGATAAAATGCCAGAGTTGCACACAACCTCATTACTTTGCTGTCTGTCCCAAAAACACAATCAAACGAGAAAATATTCATAATATAAGAGAAAACACAGGTGAGAATACAAATACAGATCCAGGATTTTCCCAAGAAGATATGAACTGCCTGATAGACATAATGGAAGTAAATAGTACACAAAATAACAGGGAATTAGAAAAGATCAACACTCTCTCGCTGAAAGACAAAAATATAAAAACATTGCTAATGACTAAAAATATTGAATACTTAAATAGTCGAAAAGAATCAATTAGAGGTTTCACACTAATGGATCCAGGAGCCACTTGTACCTTGATTAGTGAGCGATTTGCACAAAAACTAGGGATTTCAGATTCGGAAATTAAACATAAAACTGAACTCGAAGTAGATGGATACGCTGGTAAAAAGTCCCGCTTCACATCATATAGGATCAAAATCGAGTTTAAATTGAAAAATGGAACTATTACTTCTGCCGAAGGGTATACTACACCCAACTTAGATCAAATGAAAATCTATTGTCCCAGTGATCCAAGGGAATTTTGGTTACACGATGATAAAGAAATCGAAGTAAAGCAACGCACTCCTGACATACTTTTTGGATTGTCTGACGTCTTAAAACTCTTAGAAAATATTGAAAATTTATCCAACCAGAGATTCTTGCTCCGCACAAAAGTAGGACCTATAATCTGCGGCAGAGCG